TGTCAATCTATCGGCAGGAACATATGGCAAAGTGTCAAAATCCATAATCAAAATATATAATGCTTCTATTTACTTTACCAAATAGTTTCTATTTTTCTTTTTCATTTCAATAGATGACGACTGGATAGTTAAAAAAATGGAGACAGAAGACTTTGTATTTGAAACATGGTTGCCCGGAACGTATAGTGTTAGTCATTTCTTAATCCTTTCCCATTCGAATGTTACCTCCTTTGCTTGCACCTATTTTGGCTTTTTTTATAGTCTATTACCACAAATACAGAGTCATCTATATTCACCGCAGGTAGCTGCTCTACTAAACATCTTGAATGCTCCTATAGTATCGGTGAGGATTTAACATTAAACGAGATCTTTGTCCAAAGTCCATTTTGTAGTGATCGTCTTATTCACTTTTACATGAATATTATACTGTGGTTTTTCTTCAGATTCTCGTAGTCGTACCAGAATAAAGTTGTCGGGCACAATGTCTCCAGCTCTTATGTGGGCTACCTTTAAAGGCGCAGCAAATCTTGTACCAATAACGGTTTATTTTTTCAATAATAAAACTTGGGATAATATTGACCACAGTAAGTTTGAATTTTACCTCCTAAATGTGAGTTTTGTCAAAGATTGAGCAATTTCATGGTACGGTCTTCGTATTTTGCAGAAATGTTTCAACCGGCATTCTCCTTGCCTCTCGTGATCACTGCCTCAGGGCTGAGAGCAGTTACCTTTACTTGCGTTTTTACCAATTACGTGGGAGCAAAGGTAGCCAACTTTCATACTTGGCTAGAGAGGAAGAATATTTATCTATGCTTTGTTAATGAAATCACTTACAAATTTTATTAATTCGCTCTAATAGCTTATAGAACGTGATGCTATAAAAGCGATGCGCTTGTATCTATCAGACGCCTCATAATCACAACTTGTAGCCCTGTTACAGAATACATTCATGTTAATTGCTTCCCCTGCTATCGATGGTCATGTTTATTTGATAAAATCAAGAAGTGGTTTGCAAAAATGCATGTCTTGGGGAGTTAGTATATTTCTAAAGACCCACAAACAGTGAATTTGTAGATACAATTGAGTAATCCCATTGTTGCACATGTAACGAAATAATTTACCCTGCTAACGGTTTCTTATTGGTAATACATTTCTGATTCATTTAATTAATTTTAAGGTAAGCATCTTTTACGGAGAAAAAATGGAGCTGGTCTACAACAGCACTCTCAATAGAATCGGCGATCATTCTCAAATCCTCAATTTGGGTAGGTCTGGCTAAATTTTTTATTCAAACTTTTTTATTATTTAGAGTCCAGAAGCATGGCAGTATTTGAGCGACATACAATTACGGTTGAAAAGGTGAAGGAGATTGATTATTACACCTGCAGTGTTGGCGACCAGTACCTCACACATGCAATTATTTGGTGTAAGTCAATGTCTCTTTGTTTCTACTTATGCGCAATTCAGTAGCGTTAAAGTTATTTTTACTCTGTTTTTAAGGACGAGGGTTAAAATAGAGCCCATTAGAGGGGTGAGAAAAGTTGTCTACTAACTGTATTAAATACAAATATAATGGTAAATCTGTGTCTTTGAGAAAACTCTATTAACTAGTAAAGTATCATATTGTTTCAGGAGATTGGACCTACGATCTTCGGAAAATTGGGATTGACGTTTGCTTACATTGTGAATAGTAATTTTTCCTACATTGTGGTAAACTTTTAGCACTTTTAAAACGTATTAATAACTTTGTAGCAAATGTACTAATCCCCGTACTTTCCCCATTTTCAGCTAAATTTCCCGAAAAAAAACAAGTTTCTTTTTTATTTTAATGAAAGCTTGAGGGGGTGAACTCTAGGAGGATTGCAAAACATCACCAAAGTTTCCCAAAACATACTAAAGCAACTGTGCAGATATTACAAGAAATAAGGCATCCAAGATTTGCACTTTTGTCCGAGTGGAACTGAGTCAGAAATAACGTCATTAGTGGAGCATTGGGTACCCTCGTCTATTAGAGACAATTCGATAGTGGAAGTTATGTCTTTGATGAGTCAGCTCTGACTCGACGTCTACTATGGCAGACATCAATCGCGGCGGCTGCATTTTTTGCGCCTCGGCTTCTCGGATCGCCATAGAGAGGCGTATGATACGGATTAAATTTACTTGGTATTGTTTTGTAGTACTAAAATGTCCAGATGAAATGCACCTCAGGCATTTATTGGCTCAAGAAAATAAAGTGTGCAAAACTTGTAATCAAGTTAGGACCGCTTAATTAGCAGCCTATTAATTAATTAATTGAGAAAATTGAGAAAACTGTCCAAATAAAAACCAACTTATTTAGCTTTCGCAATGAAAATGTAAAAATTGTGGGCCACGTCTTGTTGAGTTGATAGAATTTTGCCTTTTTTCAACTGTGATCCTCTTTTAGCGAAAATTCTTTTAAATCATTCAAAAAGATGATTGTCTTAATCTTAGCTGCAATTTAATTGGCATTGCAAATGTTTTAACTACGCACTATTTTCTGCAAACTTTTTTTCTGTTTGGCATCTTTTGTGGTACGCTTACAAGCCTCTTCAGCAACCCAATATTATCCAAATTGTTTACACTTTAGTCAAAAAGGTATTAAAGTAGGACGCATGTTCAAGACATGTAAGCATTGATGATCTATGCATGAAACATTGCAACATTATCATTTTGAGCATATTTTTAATATTTTTTTATCTGGTTTTACTATGGCGTGAATGCTAAGTACCGACTTTGTCATGAAAATCATTAATGCTTACAGGGAAGGACAACATGATAGGAGCTTTAGGGCTTAAATCTGAGACATGAGAAATAGTTGTTGTGAATAGGCATACAATTAAAGCAAGTAATCCTTTACATAGCCTTTCCTTCCTGAGTGTCATTCTCGAAGCTCTCCATGCCTGCACATTTGCTTTGACCATCTAAAGGTCGTCAGGTCCAATTTGACAGCAAGTGAGATAGGAACGAAACTTTGCAAAAACAATTCTAACAGTTCTATAAAGGTATGTAACACCTACAGTAATGACAAACATCGCATCGCATCCACCTATTATATCATCCTTAAAAACTTTTTGGACATTTACTTGCTGTGCAATGGTCTGTTATACTTTGGTAACTTGTTTAACTCCACCTTTTGGATTCGCGATTATTTAGGTCCCCACCATTGTACTTCCACTCTGTGGTTTGCCCTTGGTCTATGTCAGTAACCTCTCAACCCTTATGTACGTCATTTGTGCCTTTATCCTCAAAGTATCATGACTTTTTACACCTTTAAAAAATACCCGGGTGCAAAAACTCCACAGAGAGCACACTTTGTATTCCAATATATATTCTAAAAAGGGAACTGTTTTGAGGCAAGACAATTACGTAGATTTGTGTGACGCAATTTAATGAAGTTGCCATCCATACAGTTTTAAGAAAGTTACTTAAGTGGTGAAGATTTTAATGGGATTGGACCCGGACTATTATACAATATTTTCATCTACTAACTATTACCAGCCTACTAAAAATCGGATCAAGTCTTATAAAATTTGCAAATAATCATATTGCCTTAGCATTTTAATGGTCTATCTACCGATTCCTAGAAGAAGAATCGTTTTAATTGCGTGATACACTGACAACTATACTATGGGATATTATATTTTTGAACCTAATCGAGTGGAATTCGAAGAATGCATAATTAAGCTTGCTTTTTAAACCAAATAAAAGAAAGGACGTTCATTTTGTGAATCGTCTATGTTATTAATCAGACCCGAAATTTCAAAGCATAGAAACAATATTTGAGGAAGAAGCTTCAGAAACCACCTTTGTTTTTCTCTTCACAGTACTAACATTGATTCGGGAAGATAGCTCAATTTTGACAACGCTCTTAAAATATCTGGTTAGCTCGCAATCAAAAGAAATGCACTTCACCCAAAATACAGGTAACGCAGACACTTTCATTTACCAAAATCAAATTTCTAGAACATTTTTTTTCTGCTACTAAGACACTCAGCTCCTTCTCAAACTACTTAAGCGAAGTTTATCATAAAAAGCAAGACTAGAACCTATTTTGTGCTCTTATTGACTGGATCTAATTAGTTGAATAAAAAGTTTTAATCTTAATACCACAACCAGGGCGAAATGCACAAATATTTGTTATTGTGATCTAAATTGCTTTAAGCAGACAAGATGGTTGGAGATCGTGCTGAATTCATTACCTAAAAGTGGAAAACCTTGCACAAACTTCTTCACCATAACAGTTTAGGAGTTCAGTTCACTCAACACAGTGCTCAAATTCTAAAGGATATTTTTGTCACTCTACCGCTTATATAAATTATGATGTAAAATTCGTACTGTGTTGATAAGGAAGGGGTAACCTCAGGTAAAGGAGTTCATATTTTTGGCCCTCTTTGTATAAAAAACACTTTAAATCTTACTGATTTTTTATTTACTTAGAGTTGACAGATTTGAAATTTGTATTTAGCTGTCAAGCACCTACGTTTTGCTCACTGCAAACCGCACCTCTATATTCAACAGTTAATAGGAGGAAAGTGACATTACCAAGTAAAGATTTCTAACGTATTCTAAACAAGTACTTATTAAATATTCCCTATTTCTTACAAAATAAATAACTTAATTCAAAGTCAGCCAACTAGCTTGTATTGTAAGCAATTTCATAAATGTTAAAGAAAAACCTGCTGTTTTAGGGAAGCATTTAATTTATATAAAAAAGGTATAGCTGAAAGTTAAATGTTAGAATGTATAAAAAGTAGAGGTTCGAATGAGGTTGAGGCAGTAATATTCAGGATTCTCATCAACCCACCTCTATATAACCCACTGCTGACCAGGAGTGAAAAATTTGTAGAGTTGAAAGTATAAGTAACATAAAAGGGGCTTCATAAAACTGCGTAGTGCTTGCATAAACTTAGATTACGTGAAGCATGAATTTTAGGAAGTGTAATGTAACAATGGCTACAACGCAGAGCAAAATTTTATTAAATAATTTTAAAAAAATTTTGAGTGAAACCACTATTTATTTAAAAGCTTCGTAAGCATAAAACATAAGAAAACTATCGCTCGCTACCATAACTTAGCTGATAAAATGCCATTGGTGCAATATTTTCCCTGCTTCTCCATTCTACTTATATTTTAAAACCCTAAGATCAATAATACTGACCAGAGATAGATATCTTACCCACTTAAAAGGCATATTATTAAGCTAGATATTTTGTTTATTACAATATGTGACTCTAAATGCGATAATTAAGTAAAAAACACTCAAAATATGTCTAGCAATAAGCGATTGCTTGAGTCTTGCCAAATGGCAGATTTGCTACTTTGCGTTTCCTATTCATGAAGAGCGAAAGAAAACTAGGCTTTCATCCGTATGTAAGTTTCTCTCATTCCACATAGACTCATAAAAGAATGTTTTTATTTTTAAAAAACGAGCAGAGTTAAAATTCATACCGCGCGCGGTTTTGTAACGCGAAGTTGCAGTCCACCTATTGGACAGATTTACTCATCTGTAACACCATTTTTGGACATATTTTGGGCTCTTTTTCAATTGTGGGTAGCTGGCTGTGTATCTTCTTCCGCATTCTATCAGCATAGAGGGGAAAGTTGGTCGCATTCAATACCAAAACACATTATCCTTGGTCCAGTAGACTAATTATTACTGTTTAACTCATTATGCTAGCATTAGTTATGTCCGAATGTGGGCCAATCATGATAGCTCAAGCAGGGAATCCAGACAAATAAACAATTAATTTGTATATCAAAACTGGTATCGCTCGAATTTAGCAGCTTTTGGTGATGTACTTGCATAGCTCCGATTATAGCCCAAATTTTTACCACCAAGCTCGTTAGTTCCTTTTCTTCTGCAAGAGGCTAATAAAGTTAACCGAATTTAATTCCCGGTCTAGGGTAAAACACTGTTCAAATATATTGGCAGGTAAACAAAATGAAAATTGAAAGCTCCTAGCTAAGTATGTGAGGTTTGGATGTGCACCTAAGAGAAGATGATTGCTTAGGAAGATTTTGCACCAGTATTAAACTAATGTGGATGAAATAGCAGAAAAAAGATAAAATAGGATGTAAATAATTTTGCATCATTTCAAAGAAATAAGAGTTTTGAAATCATTTTATTGACAACTCTTAGCACTACTTTTTTTTATCTGTCACATCACTGTCAGCTTATCAGAATGATAGATTTCTTAAATACTGTAAGCGGGCAAAATAAATACTGAGGCATCTCAGACGCTAAACATTCAGTCAATCTTTTATGATTTGGCATGGGCCGCCTATTTGCTTTGCAACAAAAAAAATGCAACCAAGAGTGCAACTAAAAAATTATTATTTTTACTTTAATGTTATAGCACTATTATTAACAACCTGTCAATGGCTATTAAACTGTTTCATAGCATTTACTTGTTTGGGAAAAATTCTGTGACCTGGATAGCGGAGACACAACTGTGAGGAAAATTCCACTGATGCTTCAATTCTCAAATTTTCAACGCAAATATTTAAACTGGTGGTAGTTTTTTGAATTAAAATTTATTTAGACATCCTTCAAAACTATTTGATGGATGTATTATTCTGCAAATATCTGCTAAACGTGGTTTCCAAAATTATCAACTTATCAAAAACATTGAAAAAGTAATGGGTTTTTGACCAGAAGACATAAATAGCGTTTATTAGAGAGGAAGTTTTCCTTTCGGCACTTTTGCTAAATGCTACTTAAAAATGCTTTTAAAGTAATGCACCATGGGAATTCAATCTCCTCCTAATGAAATCAGCATTTCGGTTACAAATGTAGGAGAATAAAATAATTTGCCTTATTTCATCTCCATAAAACCATCCCTATGATGCATTTTATCCCAAAAAAGATTTTTCAGTATAGGACAACCATTTACCTTAGGTAGGATTTTCTGTGATTGAGGCCCTTATTATCTATAAGCACCCATAATATCAGACCAAAAAATTGTTTTTTGAATTTTTATCAGGGTTTTTACCTTGTGGATGCTGGATGTGGATGTTCTTAATGGTGTAAAATTTTGTTAGGCGTCAAATAAACGAGTCCAAACAAGCAGTAGCCAGAGCTGTGTAATGTCGCTTTAAAAATAAATGACAATTTATCGTTTTTTTCTTTTCTGTTGATGACAAGCACCCAATCGTTACGCAAAATTTGGGCCTTCTAGTTAATTTACTCAAAAAGCACCTTTAGACGATATGATACACCATGTCTACCTACTGACAAAGTCTTCAAATGAAATATATCTAATAGTATGATAAAAATTAACGACTTGTTAATATCTATCTCAATAAGTAGTCTTGTCAGCTTATTTTATAAATAGCAGGACCACCGTTTTTCCTTTGAGCTGAGTTTTCAATTTATGTGCTTGGTTGGTCGCTTCTATTTATGTGTAGACTAATTAATTAAGATGGGAACAAATCCAACATCCAATTCACTTTATCCAATTCTCTTTATGGCAAAGTTGCAATCTTCTTTGATAAGAGATTGTCAAGATGGCTTGCCTAATGGCAGCAATCAGCTCCGCCTTACAATAGAAGATGGTTTGCAAAAGATGCCATTCATGAAGTTTTGTCTTAGCGAAATACATTAGAATAGAAAAGAATAGTGATTCTTCTTCTAAAGCTAAAAAGCCTTTTCTATTTTGCTTTTAACTGTTTGAAGTCCTTTGTAAAATTATCGAAAGCAAATATTTAACGTGTTTTGAGAATGAAGTCGTCTCATATCTGAGTGAGACCTTGTTTTCAATTGCGTTTTATGAAATGATCGTCATAGGCTCGTGACTGCAAATTGCAGTTGTTATTTTAATTTATTTCAGCTAAAACAAATAAATTGTTAGTAACTGCGGAATGCTGCCAATGTGCTTAATGAAGTTATGCAGCACTCCGAGTCTTTCCTAAAGTCAAAGAAGTCATAACACTAGGGCAGAATGTGTACGGCCGACGCTCATAAGTGCTGAGAGGCTACTGGCCTGGCCCAAAGGTCACGTCACCCAGCGCAACCTTAAGTGCCTGCGTAGTCAAAATGCCGAGTTAAACTAACGACTGAAGTACCTTTCTTTTATGCAGCACAATAACTACCTTTAGTAGCATTTTTAACTCACTTCTGATAGAGGAGGATATCTATTCCTTAAATTTTCCAAAAAAATCATCTTTAAATTAATTTTGGCTTTATATTATTTAAAATTCTTTGTAAAAGAAAAAACTCCCTTGCCATTAGCAAGCGTATTTGCTAATCCATTAAAAAAGATTCGTTTAAAATAAATGTGTTTAAAAGTGACGATTTCCGAAAAGAGATAAGGTCAGCTATTTGCTGACAGGTCAAGGAATATAAAACGGAGATAGTGCAATTCTCGATAAGATGGCCTCGACCTTGCCAAGTGATTCCTTGAAAAAAAGATTTGATAAAAAGTATAGTGTTTGTTAATAGTTTTTTTTTAAATTTTTTTAAATTAACACTTGGTACGTGGAAAGAATAATTTTGAAAGGTGGTACTTACCTTATAAAGTTTTAGTCAGATATTTATTTAACCTATAACTTTCAAAAACTAGGGATTATTTTAGGGTATATCAACTTTAAATATCATTGGATGAAAAGTGATTCTTTTTGTGATTGGGATATAATGATCCCCTAAACTTCTGCCTATCAGCCAAAATAATCCAAGTCCTATCTATTTTTTGTTATTTTGAATTACGTAGTTCTATTTTAATCACATGCACCTTACTAACTTTAATGGCTGTTTCCACATAGATTTATTTTTTTGTAAAGCCTGCTATCAGCTACGGCATATCGAAGCAGGATTGTTAGAATTTTAGGCAACATAACTGCGTCCACCTGAACAGACTCCTTATGGCTTTCTATGTATTTCAGATATAACCGTGGCTTTAACGTTGGCCTTTTGATATTGTGTAGAAGTTTACATATCGAGTCTTACGATTATTTGCATTCTGATCATGATAGAAAGCTAATCTTCTACTAAGTGTTTGGATCACAATATTTGCATTGAGGTCTTAACGTTGTGGGATTTATTAAGTCACATGCAACCTTAGTCCGCATAATACACTACAATTAAAATATACGATATCACAATCTCCTGTATAATTTTTTTACAAACATTGACATTGGCCCCTGTTTTTACTATCTTGATACTGCGTCAAGTACCAGTTGCAGCACATGGTGTATTTATTTACTAAAAGTTTCACCATGTAATATGCCATGTTTGCTATTTCTTATCATTTTACATGCAGATATGTGGTGCAAAATGGATTTGTGCTTTTGCTGAATGCTCATGCTTTTGATCCACATGAGCTGCAAACTTAAACTTACCTAAAAAATAAAATCTAGGAAGAGTATAAACTAGGCTTTTAACGACTGAATTACCACTTTTCCTCATCAAGGCATAAGTATCTCTTAACGAATGGGGCATCTTTATCACTTTAAGAAGAAAATTTCACATTGGAAGTTGGTGGAAGGATCTAAGAAAGTGGGTAATTCCTCGACTTTAAGATGCCTATAAATTTGGATGATCAATGCCAACTGAAGTAAAAAAAACAAATTAAACCGTAATCAAAAAACTTCAATTTTAAAAACTGGCTAAGTGACCATAATTTATTTGTAATGATACCGCACCTAACCTAGTAGTGTTTCTTTCCTCTATTTAAATTTGCATTGTTTAGTCAAGATTTTGAATCATGAGTCCGAAAATATGATAAATGGTTCCTCTACTTACTAGCATATCATTTGACTCGTAGCCAGTAACGCATAGGTGTCATGAAATTTTAAACGGCCCATAAAGTTGCTTGATTTGTGTAGAATGATTACTATCCTTATTCTGTATTCAGACTAGCTAATTATTCCACCCAATTCTTGTGCATTAATAGTCAAGAAATAAAGATTCACGCCGATGCAAGTGATGTGCTTCCTGATAAGAGCAAATGCCAAACTCATAAGCTACTGACGAGTAGTCCCATTTTGATGATACCGTTTGTAACAGCATGCTTAAGTATTGGTCGCTTTATTGCTCTAGCTAAGCTATCACTTTATGAGTCTATTTACAATAGTCGTATTTTTGCAGGAGGTTTGAGGGGTAAAATTTGTGGTCCCATCTCATTCAGAATTTGTTGCTACCTTTGATTATTTCAGTACATTCTGTGACGAAAATTTGGCATAACTCTAAGCGGCAATCGTACAACTTGTCAAAGGAACACAAAATTAGGACAATTTTTATGCATTTTACAGTATATAACTTCCACCGAGGTAATACAGATGCAAATACCGTCCAAATTTTGCTGCTTTTAATGGCTTTAGTACCATCAAGCCAAATTTTTTTGGTGCGTATTTACCTGCAGAGGCCTCTTTTGAACCCTGTTGTCAAATTCTTCATCGTAGATAACATAGTACGCGGATTTGGCCATCAATTTTCGTATTAAAAGTGATAACAAAATCTGCTGATATAAACGAATCCCTGTTTACCGTTTGCTTGACACATGCTTGGGGGTAAATTCAGGAATAAGAGGACGGTAAAATTACTTGTCTCGGGTGAATATTTCACCTAAAGGCTGGAGTTAGTCTGTAAGAACAGTGTATAAATGTTCTTTGTTTTATACAAAATAGAAAAGTATACTTTGTAAAAGCTAAAATAAGTAATATAGGACCATAGGATATATCCTTACATGATATTATTAGGGAATAAGTAAGTGCGCGATTTCCAAAAACAGTTTTAGGAATAACAAAACAACATATGTCTTGCAAGGTAAATGAATAACTCATGTCATTTACGTAGTCGGTTTATTCCCAAAATCCAAAAAAAATCATTAGAAAATTCAAAAATATGATGCTTGAACAGAAAATACTGTTTGAATTAGCAGCATGAAGAGGTATCGTATAGAACATCTGTCAGTAGGATTACAGCAAGGAAATAGTCCAATTTTCTGCAACAATTTTTATAAAGATTACTTCGAAACAAACTAACAAATGGGGCTATTCTGATCTTTTCTATTAATCGTTTAAAAACCTCCTTTTTCACTTTAATTAAGTTAGGTTCTCTAAGCTATTTTATTGGTCATTCGCCCTGACCAATAGGTGCGCAGACACCGAAACTTAACCATATTTTACCTTCAAAAGCTGGTTCTACTACATCCTATCACCATAGTAAAAGTCGTTATTGGAGAAAACTATCGCGGTTGATCATGGATTTGCGTGTTCGAGCACTGCGATCAGTCCAAATTCCTCCACAATCCCCTATGGAGGAAGGCACAATGACCATAGCTCCTGTGCTTCCATACCGCAGTTCCACAATGCCTGAAAACCTGTCTGTGCGACTTAAGCATCCAAATGTTCTCTGTGCTAATTCATGGTTAAAAAGGAGTCCTAGTGATCATTCAGATCACCCCACTTTAAGTCTTCGCTGCTCCCGATATCTGGATGTGGAAAAGCGCCGTAGTCGACCTGCCTCTTTGGCTCCAGAAGTCAATCACATAGATAAAAGTCTTCCTCCGCCTCTACCACCGAAAAGAATAAGCTCGCAAACATCCAATTTAACGATTTTATCCCTGAAACAGAAAGAATTTGGTACGGAAACTAGTGAGGATGGTGAGGAGAAAGAAGAGCATTCTTCACAGGAAGTGGACATCTGCAGCGCACTCCAAAAAATCACGAAACGTCTCGACCAATTGCAAGTGGAACGCAGCCCTATTCTTAAACACTACTCAATGCTTTATCGTTTGGATGCTTCCATCCAAATGCAACCACCACAATCGCCCGCCTTCCTGCCGAAGTTGAGGCCGATGTCCCAGAGACCACATCGATGCACCTACACCAATCTTGCTGGCTGATTTCTCACTTCCTCTCTACCTCTATCAGCCTGTCTGACTTTGTGCAAATTTGCAGCACCAAAAGCCTTTAATTTGACTTTTATTAGCACATCGATGTATGTGAGAGTGGATCTGTTACTACTTTAACAAGGCACTTTTTGCAGCCTATGATTCCATAAACATAAACTGATTGGGTAAGAATAAAGCCCAAAGTGCTTTATTCTGCCCTTCAGTTCATTAATTGGTTGTTTTCTTGTTAGTTGAAGTATATTTACGCAGATTTTTGGGTTGTTCAGCTATTTACATATGCTGAGCATGGATTATGCCCAGATCTTTTAAGGTCGCAGGAAAATAATGTAGGGCGTTATTTTAAATACTATTCAAAGGTTCCAATGCGTGTATTGGGTTCATCTTTTCCATTTACGAGTTGCATTTTGGAATTTTAAAGGCGATGTGAAGTCGGAGTAATGGACTTCCAACAGCACCCACTTTATAAGGGTTTACTAATGCATATTTCTAGCCGAAATCAGTTCTACTCACACCTAATAATATCGAAATGGGCTTTTGTATTAAAATGATCCACTAATGATTCGCTTATTTGGCTCTAGCAGTGAACTTTGACATTTCATAGTACCCACTGAACTCACTAATGCCATCGCAAACCCTGCTTTGATCCTGAAAGTTTGTGCTCAAACAGGATATATTACGACTGCTTTTTTTCTGAAGAGGGTGTGAAGAAATAAGGGAAAAGAAAATGCCAGCAACATCTGCAAAACGTTATGTCGTGATTTTTAGATGTCTGGTGTAGTTAACGATCAGAAGAAAGTGCAATATTATTTACAACGCTGACCAATTGACAATACCTGCATTTCAACAAACTGAAATAATAAACACTAGAAACTAGGGGCGGTTTCTTACTTCGGAGTAGGCTGTATGGGTGCTACAAAATACTTTAATTAATGCCTTGTCCTTAATTGCGAACATGTCGGCTTCTCGACGTTATCCTTCTTGCCTCAACTGGAAGCACATGTGTCTGTGAACAAGCAGAAAAGAACACATGCTCATGCAAATTCGAGGCAAGTAGAGAGGCAAGAGTTTGGCCGGTTAAGAAGTTACTTTTACATGACCTACAATGTGTACAACATAAATATGCCTCCGAATCCTAGATATCAGATGTATTTTTAAAACAGCAAAAAAATAACCTGAAAACTCGGTATAGTCAAATGCAGCAAATGCAGCAACAAAAACAAAAAAATGTTTAAAAGTCCTTGTATTTTCTGCAGCCATCAGTAGTGTGGGAGGAAATTTTCAATTCCGACTGATTTTAGCCTCAAAGTTTAGTCTAAAACATTGGTCCAGTAGTAAAGGGCTGATAGGAAATGCGCTTGTAGCTTAGACTTTAAGTTCATTACCTTGGTTTTACAATCAAAATGATTGCTGATTAACACTAAAATGAAACATCCGCAGGAGTTTATGGGCATGGTATCACCCAATTTGCGATTTGGCTTTAAAATTTTTTACACCTACGAGGTCGAAATACTTCGTGTTACTTCTAAATTTTATAGTTGAAAAAAATAGACGACTGATCAACGATGGTAAAAAGGTAATGACATTGCTAAATGATGATCAAGGGATTTGTAAAAAATAGGGTACAAAGTCACCTGTTGCAATTTCCTTTAATCAAGGTACACTAAAGTCGTTGTTAGGAGTTTGTTTAAGAGAGAAGAGTGAGATTCTGCAATGAATGAATGAACCCGAAACTTAGCGTCAGCCTATAAGCGAGTCATCTCGTGTGTAAAGTAACAATGAAATCAGCCTTTATGCAACCGAAGTACTCTTTTTAACCCATCTTCCCAAGCTCTGCAAAATTACTCAACATCCAATAAATTACATTTAACCAATCACTTATTTACCAGGGTTCTGTATCAAAGACTTCATTTGCTATTTGTAATAGGTGTAAAAAATTCGCAGAACTCTCGCTTTTTCAAGAACTTGATCTTGAAACCACAAAAAAATATAAAAATTTGCTGACAAATTAAATAAATAATAAAATAACATGAGGACAGCCCGATTTGCTTGTATCTAAGTAAAGTAATGAATTTCTTATTTACACTTGCAGCTGACGTGTGAACAACTGTGCGGTGAATAACTTTTGTCGTCATGGACGGGTGGTTTAAAATGCGATGCTTCAGAAAAGCCGCACCCATCCTGGTTTTTTAAAAATTTGATCTTTGGTTTGTCATTTTAAAAATAATCATGTTCAAAGTGGTTATCTCCAAAAGTGTTTCGTAAGTGCTTGGAGCAAAATTTCATACGATTTTCAATGCCTTCTTAAGACAAAGCGCGCTTTTCCCTGTGGGTTGAATTCATGGGAAATTTTGTAGGAAACTGAAATTGGTGTACAATAATTATTTGATAAAAATCTGGTCTTAGCTGGTTCGTCTAAGAATGTTTAAAATTTTTACATTTATATGCACTTTTGATTAAAGACGTCTAAACATTTTCCGATTATCTCTAAAACTCTACCATTAGGGGTGATTTAAATGCCTAACGTTTCTTATGGTGTGTGGTACCGAGCCTGATGTACCTGATGATTGATGACAGACTTGTGACATGTCCCCTGTGTCAGGTGAGTCATGGACCATATTCAGTATTGATCAAGACAAGTTTGTGCACTTGGGACTATGTTTTCAGTGGTACATTCGGTCATTCGCATTTTTTACGCATTGTGTGATAACTGATTCATCTCTTCTTTCTTTTTTCATTACATGCATGTGGGATTGTAAATAATATTGGGTTATCTTATCCTGCGTACCGCTAAATTTTGACTGTGAGATAAGCAACTGTTTTATTAATTCGAATCTCTGGTCAAGTGCAAATGCCAATTATTTGTAGCATGCTAAATGTATTTCATCTTACGTAAGGAGCAAAAAAGAGCAGTTACGTGCACAGACACCGCATATTTAGGCGCAACCAGCCGAAATCCAGTAAATGGGTCCTCTTTCCTCTTGGTTGTTAGAAGACTGGTGTTCTGATTTGTTCATCGTATCCGTTTGCATTTTTATTCACTAAATGAATCTGTCGATAAAATTATTTTCTTTGAAGTAAAGAGTTGTTTATCATCCCAAATTAAGGCTTTGCTGACGTGGCCATTTAATTTAATTTCATCGTTTTTAGTAATGCATAGAATACTCCAACTTCCTTCTCGCGCATCTCACATGTATTGCTACAGCAATGACAAATTTACTTTTACCGGACCGAGCAGTCCCTCAAGATATTACCAAAGGTTTCTCTTTGCCGACCCAGTTAGGCAAAATTTCGTCCTTCAGCAGCCATAGTTCATCATCAGATTATTGCTGGCTCAGGATGCTTAAGACGAAAACAATTAAGTGGCACTGTCCGCAAGCTAATTGGTTTTACAAATTCAAAGCACTGCTATCGTTTTAAAATTTAGCGAAGAAACTCAGGCCTTTGGAAAGTTTCATTTAACCATTCTCAGAAATTCTTCCAACTATGAACCCATCTCTTGTTTGTAATAAAAGTATCACTTTGTTTTCCACTAAAACCCCTTTAACAATTCTAGAGAACCTTTAGATTACTTTGTTCCTAAAAATGAAGGCGAAACTGTGACCATGCTCATTAATCAGGCTTTGGGCCTCTTTTATATATCCCTTTTTCTGTAGTTTATTTTGAGCACAAAATAATGTTAATATGGAACGATGGGAAGTTGGCAATTGGCCTAATTCTTGCCTATATTGAACATGAGTTGATTTTTGCATCCAAAATAGTGCGGTCACTGCCGTCTAAGCATATCAAGTCTAAGGTATACTTCTGAATAAGCTGCCTTATTTAAACGCAGTCACACAGGCTCGCAATTAAAATGATTCAATATAAGGCTGCGTTTTCGGTGTTACAAAGTCAAATTACTTTACCGACTCTTGCATTCCTAGAGTAGGCTGCACGCGAATTTCCCGGGAAGAATAGGCTTTAAATGGCGATGAGGAAAGATTCAGCAATTTTTTTTGGAGGACTTTAGGGTTAGGGTTCTATTTTTCGAAGTTTGGTAACTTTAACGCATTTCTTCTTCACTCTTTTAACTCCCTGTGAATACCAAGTAGGCAGCGTTAGTAAAACCTGGGATTTTATGTGTAGGGGAAATTAAAATGCTTCCCTTACAAGTCATGTGCTGGATGGATAACTGTTTTAGCTTGACATGGTAAAGAATACTGAATTTAGATGTGCGTCAACGTCAGTAGCCATTTAGAATTCATTTCAAACTGTTTACAGATTGGCTAGATCCAATTCTGACTCAAATTTCTGCATTTTGTAGCATACATAGCTCCAATTGCAATTTCTAAAGAGAAATTTAAATCAAAGCAACGCCTTCTTTAAACCAAAAATGTTTTCTGAAACAATTAATTATGTTGAATAAAAGTACAAATTTTCATTTCCTCTTGTAAAAAACACGCGATGTTGATGAGGACAATATTTAATAATGGTACACCCATTATTGCTCTACGGTGTACCTGCCTAGAAACTTTTTATAAATCCAGAAATTTAAAATTAAGGAATATTTCCTGACCACTAATTTCATCCTCCATGTCTTAAAGAATGCGAATGTTTTCATAAGAATACAAATTTTGCCAACTTTACCGACAAAGGGCAGAGTAGCAAGCTCCTAATCATTGCGAATTTTAGCTTTTTTTAAGGAAACCTTGAAGCCCTTTTGGCTTTCCTTGAAGAGTGGGATTCTTTAGTGCGCATAAGGTTCTGAGGCTATGGTCAAGGTCATGCATCATACCGCCAAGATGTTCATAAAACCTGTGGTAAGATAGGCATTTAAACGAGTAACGGTCTGCTGACTATCTATCTTTAAGTCCGCTAATTGATATAAAGTCAAGAAGGCTGTTTTATTAGTGTTATCTTCACCACTTTTTGATTGTTCTACGAGATAGCGGAATGTTAACAGATATAAATAACACCTTTGCCTAGTTAAGTGAACCGTCATTGTCGGATTTGTGCCTAATGGAGGTACGGTTGGCTTTGGTTCGTGCATGTCACTCACATGATATACGTCAGAGTAAATGGGAGCTGCATCTTTGTGTTCAGGTTTGCCTGTTTGAGGGTCTATGTAAATTTACGTCCATTTTTACCTTCTCTTATTTTGGTAGTAGGATTGCTTGTAAAAATTAAATGTCAGCATCTTCTTCACATTGCCAACAAAGTTATTTGAACGTAATGTAGTACAGGTATGTGATTTATATTGGAACCGAATAAAAGAACTGTTATTTTAAATGTTGGTACACGAACTTCCAAAAGTTCTTTGATATACTTTTCAATGACTTTTAAATAGACTTGCAGCGTGCTAGATGTAATGATGCACAAATTATGCCAGTGTTTAGTCGTTACAAAAGCATGTTTTTTGGACATTTATCATAAAATCCACATTGAAGCACCCAGGTCATCAGGTAAAGATTGTAAGTGACATTAGTACAATAAACCTCTCAGAAAAGGTCAATGTTGACGTGTGAATAAAGTAGCCATTACATTTTATATTAAACACTGATTTATTGCTTTACCTTGCGGAATCTACTGTTCTTGAGTTCGAAATTAAAAATTACATGCCTAGAATATCAACAAAAATTGACAGTGCTTTAAGCAATTTATTCTATCTAAGTATTCTTTCAAAAATAGCAATTAGGTAAAAATTAGCCCATACACGTATTTTTACGATACGGAGACGCGACTGGCCTAAATAACTACACCAAATTAAATGAGTTGATAACCAAGCCATTCAGTCTAACAAAACTTTTTCCCCACGAGATCAGCAGCGGTCAAGTTATTTATTGAAGGCTACCGAAATTGCAGAAAGTTTCAGCTTCTCTTATTAAGAACTAGTAATTAGCTTGTGCATGCCTTATTAAGAAAATAGTTAAGCCAACTTTGGAAAAGTACATGGGTTAATACTATGACAGAGGGAAATTTCCCTCTATTTTAATGAAAGGCAGGTGCGTGTTTATTAAATAAGCCAGGATATATAAGTAATATCATGCATTTTAAAGTATCCACCGTGAAAATTGACCATTCTTTATTTTAGTATTTTGGAAGACGACTTACCACTACATTAAAGACTTCCTTTCAATGATGCTTATTTTGGACCTTTTGATAAGTCATACATAAGTAAAAAGTGCACCTTTATTCTCATATGTGAATGTCTTTAGGGAATGTATTTTGGTCAGACAAACTGAAAAATCCTCAGAACTCCAACTCATCAAGGGTTGGCTGATAGACGCAGCTAAATTAAGTAGAAATATAAGCTTGAATAAATTGAAGACCGTCTATCGTAAAATAAAGATGCTAAAAAGGGAAACTTAGAATTTTAAATGGTTAGACAGGAATGTTGATTACAGGAGTCTTTTCCTTTTTTTCTTAATGGCATATAAATGCATAGTTGAAGCAGAAAGACTTGCAGTCATATTGCACCACAATTGGAATTTCCCCCCCCCCTATTCTTAAATTACTTATATGCAGCAGTCAGCCACTGTAAAAGCAAATTTTTACGCACATCGTTGAGATGACTTTCCCACATGAAAGCTGACCTCTCCTTCAAAAATCTCCTGGTGGCATTGGGATTTGGTGGACGAAAGCGCACGTCCTAAAACAAGTTAACGAGGGGATTGAGGTCATGATTAGTTTAAGATTCGTAGGGTCACTTTTATTAGAAATCCAAAGGAGGCGAGGTTTCAGTCCCTATTGAAGTGTCGACGTCTGGTCAGGACCATGAAAAAGGACTTTTAGATGTAGTGAAGAATAGCCTAAATAACTCCTATCCTCTCAAACATCAGAGGGTTGTTTTCAGCAGCATGAGTAGCCACTATGACGAGTACTGATGCTTGAGAATAAGGCTGAATAGTTCCTGTAAAAAAAATGGTTAGTCAGGAAAAAAAACCAAACATCTTTAGCTACACAAAGGGCATAAAAATATCAGCAAAAGATGCAGAAACACCGGAAGTAACGTGCTGCGGACGTGAAGCAAAGGCGCATATCGTCAAAAGTTCAAAAAGCGCTTTTAGAATATCAGGTCGGCCAACCGGTAAACTATATAAAACCGTAAAGGATAAGTGGTAAGCTATATTAAACGTAGTATTAGAACCTATTAGTGAAGTTTTGGGTTACTTAAGACTTCAAATTCAACTATTTGCAAATCCTCTTGGCTCCGTTTTTAAAGTTAAAAACCCACTTTTAAGGAAATTCTTGTCCACTATTCATTTCAGTAACTGACAGCTGATTTTCCGAATAAATTAATTAACAAAAGACCCTAATCTAAGGCAGAACTTAGTTAATGAGGCAATTTATCAGCAGAATGTAGCCTGTCCGAGAATAATTCCGCTTTGATAAACAATTTCAATCTGATCTATTATTAATTCACTTGATCGAAGCACATTTGTCATCATCAATCCACAAAATGAGTGTACAGTTGAACAGTGTAATCATTGAACAGTTGAAATGTTCATCTGCTTGAAAGCAGTGAATTTTGCACTTAACAATACTCATTTGTAATTGTCATTTACAAATTGTTTAAATGAGCAAACTTGCTTTAGAAAACATATTAAAATACCTCCCATTTAGCAATCGCTCTGTAATGCTTTGATACCTCCCAAGTTGGCGAAGCCGGACAACAGTCTTGTGGCTGTCGGAGAAGAGAATTTGTCCAAAAAACCATGCACACAAGCCCAAACAAACAGACACACACACACACACACAGATGGCTTTGAATTGCCTCCACTTGCTCTGCCAGGTGACCGTTTTTAAGATACGAATCAGCCCGGACCCGACCGCGATGACTCATGGAAGCTTCGATTTTTTGGTTGTTAGTTGCGTTGTCATTGCGACTTCAGAATCTATGTAAATTGGTTGCATGACACTATCATTTTAGGCATTTTGCTTCGTTGCAGACGATAGGATGGTTTAAAGTATTTTGCTGTTTTATCGTATCCAGATGCTTTAGCTGCTACTTAATCAACAAGAGGAAGTGAGAATACCTAAAAACGGTGAAATTTCTAACCTGTGTTGACTACAAATTTTCGACCGCTTTGGTTTAGAGTAGAGATATGCTTTTTTGTCAAAAAAAACCAACGCAGAAATCAGGGGGACCCTGGTATAGTCTGTGCAGATGTTGCGAATCCTTTTTTTGGACACTTGGTACACAGAGATCAAAGTTAGCGTAAGAACATCACAAAATTTGTTCATTTTCCACGTCTGATTCTCTTTTTACTGACTCATGGGAATCCTAACAGCGTTAGGTTGCCATGATTCTGACTCCGCTTGACTTGAGGGAAGCGCTCTCATTTTAGTCAAGAAGCTCTTCTGAAATTTGCAGCAGGATCTATCTCACGAAAAATAAAAGTGGATGGGATTGCAGAATTCTTGCACTTAACCCCTATGTCAACGTAAACCGGGCGGAATATTGATGATTTCTTTTTAAAAGTTAAAACAGATGCAGCATAAGAATAGTTCACGTGATCTGTATTTTATCAGGTAATTTGCGTTTAAAGCCTTACATAAAATACCATGTTGGTATTGATATATCTCATTACTGGACAGTCACGAGATAGTGAAAGAACTTAGTGCTCTTTTTACTAACAAATTCTTCATTTTTTTAACTGGATGGTTGTTACTTGTGCTGAAATAAATAATTTTGCCTTTTTTAAGAATGTTTTTTCTTTTGGTTTTTCGTCCATCGCATTATTTTTCCGAAAGGTCTTCGGTAAATTTTCTCAAAAAAAAGGAATCTGTCATAACTTTTACCGAATCTGGTGACGTGAATGATGCACAGGAATTTAACTGCGAAAAGACCAGATGAGAACATAACTTTTTGCGAAACAGCACAATCAGAAAAGAATGTGACCGGTTATCTTATAGGGGATTTGTAAAAAAATTCAAGTTTTTAAAAGACCTAATAACCATCTTATTTCTTTTTGTTTGCAATACTTACCGACAAATTTGATGCCAAAACTGGTGGTCAAAAGAAAGCGGTGCTAACTGCAGCATATCATCAGATTTAGGAAGTCGCCTCTGAGAAGAAAAGCATAAATAATCGGGACAGTAGAACTTATTACTAAGCGACTGTAGGCCACTTCATCTAAGTATTCTGAATAGGACCTTGTCCCATAGTTACTTTTCAATAATGCCTATCTTTGGGAAATATAGAAGTATAAAAATTGCATTTTTGGATCTTAGCACTTAAAAATGCTAATATTTTTAAAATAGGACAATAAAAAAGCTTGTAAAATGGACTGTTGGCTTTAACAAAGGCCATTGTGTCTTTCTTTTGCTTGAAATTTAAAACCTTTTGCTATATTTCATCGATTTCTAGCAATGTTTTTAAGTAACTTCCCCTTATACAGCTTGTTTTGATGTTACAAAATCCACAAAAATTTACAATGGAAATCCACTCTCTCTTTGTCAACTCGTGCATCAAGTCATTTCTACCCCAATCACAATGCTAATCTTCTACATATGGGATCTCTTCTGATTCGATCTGGCCTCCCACCTCAAGCCAGTATTCTGGCGAATCAACTATCAACAGATAATTCAAAAATTACCCCAACAAGGGTCATGTCGGGTGCTCGGCCTATTCCCAGCATGGGAAATTAACATGGAACTAAGAAGCGCTTCCTGGAAGAATTACTTATTCTGACACCATTTGCACATATTCAAGCTGATTTTTTTTTAAATTTACTTATTTTGGCAGTAAAATTAAAAATGCTTTATTTTATCCGGCAATTTAAGGAAAGCAAATAGCACGTTTAGCGCCCATTCTTATTATTTTATCAAAATTATGTTTTAAAATGCTTTCTATTGCTATTAAAATTCCATATAAAGTTAGACTAACAATTACCATAATTTGTGTAATTCGTTTATTGCTGTTAAAAAAAATATTTTTAAATGTTAACCGGTAGATTTTTCCCTTGATAAGCCATCTTCTTCTGTCATGTTTACGATTTACGGCCAGATTTTCTCTGAAGATCTAAGAACTTTTTCCTCAATTTACAAATAATAGAAATGCTACTTAAACTAATGCAAGTAAAAGCAGTTTCAAACAGTCTGGTAAGCACTCCTATTCTTGAATGCCAAATAGTGGCCATAACGGATAGGTTTTTAGGTGTACCATTCTTTGAAATCCTATGGAAGGACTACAAAATATTATTGTAGTTTTGGCAATACTCAGTTCCTCTCGTAAAATTTCGAAAGCTGTGAAAAGTGGGTGAGTTTTATTTTATTTATTTGTCATTCCGACCCTTCGAATTTCGCGGTTTCGATTACATTTTTTGTATTGTGTCACCTGATTCTCTACGTTTCTGCTATCAGCTAGCCAGTTTTTTCAGAAACTTTATGGAGGATCACATAGTCCTCAAGAGATGCTTTTTCCTATCCCATAGATGATTCAAAAAAACCCACGTTTTACCACTTTATACAAATTATAGATTTTGGGATTTCATTTCGTGAGTAGTTAAGCTACTCTAATTTGCCTATCGAACATAGGAAAATATTAATTTAACCTTTGTAAAATTGTGCCGGTCTACATTTCTTATAAATCTTTTACTATGGTACTGATTTTCCATACAAATGATCCATTTGTTGTGACAGTTTAGTATGCACACTTGTTCATAATTTTATGTGATAGGAAACTTTCTTATCACTACATTTTCGAGACTTTCTCGTGATCCAATTTCGGGTTGTATGTAGCAAAATGAGGGAGAACGTATACTCATAAATCTCCTAGAGCCATTTCTGCAGATGAGAATTGTAGAACGACCTCATTTTTAACTTTTTCTAAATCAACAAAAATTTATCTCGCCGGTTTCGTAAGGTTAAAAATGCTGATTATAGACCTAAACTTGTTACCCTTTTTGGTAAGATCAGCTTTAACTTATGCTAGTGGCATCAGTGAAGTAGATTTTTTCAATCGTTTACGAGATTCAAGACCATATATCATTTTCTCGCACTCCTAAAGGGAATCATAATATGCAAGAGTATGAATAAAACTTCATCATGAACTTACGGAAGGGTTAGTAAGTTCTTAACTGAATCATCATGGGCAGGACGAAATCACACTAAAGTGGCAACCAAAATTAACGTAATCAATGTATCCAGGTGGTACAACGGAAAACTAAAAAGGAGTTTGGTACGCAAAAGTGGATTTTGGAAAATATTCATAATGTAATGTGTTCATGGATGGAGAGATTTACCGTATCACTTTTAAGCAAGTGGTGCAATTAAGGGTCAGTAGTGGTAAGAGAAGGTAAAAATCACAAATTTTGCGCAATAAATACATTTTTGTAAGTTTATTCTAAACTTAAGTAGCCACCCATGTGACACCTAATCGTGACTTATTTGCGACAAACAAAGTTTGTTGTTTTATGTTCAGTAAGTAAAATATTTTTCTTTCTAAAACAAATATTTTTTCGCAATAGCTAGCACGATTATGCAGCTCCAAGTTCAGGTCTTTGTTACAAGAGACGTCGTTTTGCTTATTTCGCTTGTTTTACTTTCTTTTTCTCCTGTTTTACATGAGAAATTCATAGGAAACATCTCACAATTTGCGTTATTCTTAAAGTATCACTAAAATATAGCATTTGTTCCAATTCAATATCATTAAACTTTCCTCCAAAAACAATAAAATTTTCCATATTTGTGTTTAATTACTCGGAATCTTACTATTTTCGTCCCGAAAACATTATTTAGGGAGAATGTATAGTAAACACAAAACCAGAATCCCACAAAATTTTGATTCTCAATTTTTTGCACCGAGTCAAAGCTAAAGGAGTGATGTGAAACATCTTACAACACAATTTCAAATGTATATCGCTAAGAAATATTTTTTGGTTGGACTCGCAGATAGAGGATATATTACCAACCAGACATTAAACCCATATTCATAAGCGAAAAGATAAGGTAATTTTTCTTTGTAATCATTTCCATGGTACTGTTTCTCTGCATTCAATCCATACTTTCTTAAATGTATACTTGACTTCATGGGCTCTTCAGTCACCGCAGGTTCTACTCCCATATTGCTGGCACGGCGTTGGTCATGCCAATAACCCTCTGGTCCTTCTACACACAAGTGAAGAACTGTTTTTATGCCTTGCATCTCGAGGGCTGACTCGGGTGGCTTCTTAAAAATGGGTCTCATTCAAGAGGATTAAAATAAACTTACTGTACACTTCAAATTGACAGACAGACACCCTTGTTTACGGGGAGGCCACCCTGAGGAATACGAATTTTATCGACATTTAGGGTCGGATGTTAACGCAAAGAATTCTATCATAGGTAGACAATACACCATTATGTGCAGCCGCCTTTTAATCCGACCTATTTAATTATTTACATATTAGCAGAATGGCGATTTTTTCGACTTCGCAAACTTAACTGATTTTATTATTTTTCGAATAATTTTCTTTAAAAACTGGCAAAACACAGATATTATTGGCGTGAAGTGTAAACATGTCTGGACTAAATCTATACAGTTCTTCGACAGTTCAAATAATACTTATGATTTGAATCGCAAGTCCCACTTTGCACCCTTTTATCCAGATCAAATACTACTTTTTTATAAGGTGCCAAAAATCAGACAAATGCTAACAGTGGTTAGCAAATTCCCCTCCAATCATTGGTTGGTCCACAAACCAACAAAAATCATGTTGTGAATTAATTGGCCCCTATTGGCCAATCATTGTGGGCTAGTGGGTAGCACGCACGCAAATGCATTTGCATGTCTACCCGCATGTGCCTCGACTGTGTCGGGGCATGTGCTAACCGTAATCCGTTTTAGTGCCTAAATGCTGCATGCCTTTGTCTGTGCGCGCATGTGTGCGATTGTGCAAATAGAGCGCTTTCGCATACACTCACGTTCCTTCTGTCTCCTACCTGCTGTCTTCTTCCAAGCAATGCCTAACTGTTGACTTTCGGATTTTTAATGTTCCCATCCCATTTATTTTCTACTACGATAGACGAATAAAAGCCCAAGGACTACCTAATTTCCATGCCAAACCTTTGTGGATGTACTGGCGACTCCTCAGTGGGGAGGTTGCATTGGCCTTGGCGAAAAAATGTCTCTCCTTCCACCGCCTCTTCAGTACGCCGTTCTACGGCCCTTGGTGAAAGTGTCGATGATACAGATATCGCCAAATCCCCTACCCTTGCCAAACCTGAGGTGGACGACAGTATCAGCCCTCGGAACTCAAACCCCCACGAGGTCACCAAGACCTCTCGTCCGCCGGTCACTTTTGAACTGGACTCCATATCGCGGAGTGGTCAAGACAACTCCTCCGAGAAAGACAGGTATTTCGAGATGCGAAATCACTCACTAGATATGGAAGTGGGCTCCATTCTACCACAAAATGCGGAGATGACCAACACCGCGAATAGGACTTTTCCCACCTTCTTCAACTCCAAGTCGAGTCGCGCATCAGGTCGTCTCTATCCCAATCATAATGCTGTTCTCTTACGAAGGGGTTCTCTCCTGGTTCGATCCGGCCGTCCATTGCCTGTTAGTATTCTAATTAATCAACAATCATTGGACGGCTCTAAAATCACCTCACCGGGGGTCACATCGGGAGGTCTGCCTAGTCCCGGCGTGGGAGAGGGACATGGGACTAAGGAGCGCTTTTTGGATGAATCATATATTGTGACACCATTTGCACAGATCCTGGCTGGATTACGCTCGGTACAGACTAATATCACCTGGCTTACTTCTCAGCACTCTGTAAAGCCTGAGTAAGTTAGTTTTCTTGCACAATATTAATCAAAACGATGCTGAAAAATGTTAAATTTTGTATGTGCCCTTCATGAATAGTTCATGCGCAGAAAATTTCCTCTCCCCGGAAACATTTGATTTTACAGCTTATTTCTCCACTTCTAAATTCATTTTGTAAAATTTATTAGCGATATATTATTTCGTACTGAGGTCGTAGAAATTAAGCAACTTTAAATTAAGTTCTTGAATTCACTCAGATAATAATCTTATGAATTGGGTTTTAAGCATTCTTTAAAGAGTCGTCCATCAATACTTTCCAAATGCAGATAATAGGTGAAGACCTCAAAGTGGAATCCCCATTTAATGAAGTCAAGCACAAGTTAATATTTTAAGTTTCACGATGAATTGTTGCTCTTAGTTCTCAGCAATTCATTTCCAGCTCAGTCAATTTGATACCTCATGTAATCAGATAATCTAGAATAAGCTTCTCCGATTTCTTGGTCAAGTAAACTATCTGTCGGTTTTGATGTCACAAGTCATAGTCGATCGGGCGAATGCAATTCGGATTGTTGACTGATGTGTCGTCTATTCACGAGCTCAGTTTTGCACGACCCGAAACAAAAGTACTAGTAATGGATTACTACGCTAAGAAGCACTGCCTAATTAATTTCGCTATTGTATATAGAATTTTGGCCCATATAGTCCGATAGGGTGGTTGGGGTTTCGACCAGGTCCTATTCGCTTTCATATTATTACATTTTCAAGCTCATATTATTACCTTTGGTATAAAAACTAGTGTGATAAAATGGAGTGACCCTGTGATTTTATTTCGTAGTTCTCATAATAAACGAAGAATTTTAATTTAGTAAGGTTAAAGTTCTCGTCACGTTCAAATGGCAGAAAATTTAAATAATGTCAGGTATTAGTATTTTAAGGTGGTAACTTGGGCCATTATTGACTGATTTGCAATCCAGATTTTGGTGAAAAAAGTTCTGGAAAAGGTATTACTCTATTAAAAAGTTTTTATCCGAATCTCATGAGAATGCAAAATTCGCGCATCAGTTAACCTGATTCTCAGTTAAATCCGCTTTATATTTGGGTCAGAATACCCACGCGGTTCAGAATTTTCAATAAATCTGTATCAAAGTTAGGTTTTAAACTTAAAAACGCATCTAATGACGTAATAATAGCAAGATTTTACAGAAATTTCTCATAATAGCTAGTCTGCTAGGTGTAGTCGTATTACGGGAACCTAACAATGTCAGTTTGTGTGGCAGTTTAATAAAGCGCCGAATAGCACTTCCCATTTCAACGATCCTCCCATCCATTCACCTGTCACTCGAGCACAATTCAATTTATTATTTGATATGTATTTCCATGACACAACACACCCACACTCCGTGATTATTCAACCATTCTCAGGTACAATTCGGTCGAGAAAACCCCCAATCTCATTTAAGGGCTTCAAATTCCACTTATGTATGCTACATCATTTTTTCTCAATCAAAGTAGAACAGCCTTATGTCAATTTCTAGTGCAAGAAAAGTAAAACTAAGCCAAACTGCTTATCGACTGCAAGACGCTTTAATTCATCCTTGGAACGGTCAGATAGGAATGCAGCTTATCACGTACCTCTGTCTCTCTGTTTTCACGAGCGTGCAAGACAATGTGTGCGCGTTTCAAGGTCTCTCATTCCCATAGGTGCAGTCTAGCACTTGCATTGCAAACAAAAGTCGATGAAATAGGGCATGTGTACATGTATGCCTGATGGTCCCTCGATTACCTATTTGTCATCACTACGAGGTTGGAAAAGGTATCCATACATGCAAAATCCTTTCGATTTTACCTTAAAACCACCCAGTTAGGGTTCATTATAGAAGATACCTCCCACTAGGGTCTTAGAGAAAAATTGGCCAACATCATCCCGATTTTTTATTCCCCTAGTATAATTCTAAAGTTTAGAGACTTTATGTGGGGTTGGGCAAGGAAATCGGGCGTCATATATACGTGACAATTTTAACGGAAGTGCCAAGGAGTATCACTATTATGAAAACACTAACATACCTTTAGGATTCAATTCTGGTGAAATGAATTGAAGAATTTGCATTTTTGTAACATCCGGTCCTTGGTGCAAACCTCTTTTTCCGATATGTATATAAAGTAACAGGACATTCAATTAGAAATAATTTAAGAGAACTTTTTATGTTGTTGAATTTCACCCACGACATTGCTCAGATAGCGTTTTAATTCAACTTTAGGATGATTGAGCGATCTTTTATTTGATAGGAAACATTATAATCTGCTTAAAAATACTTGCCAAAAGACGAGAGCCCGGGATAACGATTTCATTTATTTGACAAGCATTTTCACATATTAGTGTATTTTACTTCATCTATGAAATTGCTCTCTTAAAATATGCTGCCTTGGTCGTGGTTTTAGATCAGTCATCACTGTCCAAACACTTTATTGCCTTAATGTAGCATAGGTAGTCACTCATTTTTGGCAACTATAGCTGCTGATACAAGCTTAGAACTGGAAACTGCTCTGCAGTTTACAATTACCCTGTTGTTTCAAACTCAGTCTGTCGGTTTACGATACAATTTGATGTAATTAGTTGGCTTGACCTGACAAAGCATTCCTGTTACCTATTCACGTGGCTAGAATAAGGCGAGTAAGTCGAGGCGCGAGAAGAAAAACTTATCAATTGGTCGTAATACAACTTTTCTTTGTGGAATTTAAAATACACATTAGTGGCATTTTATTGCCTCTCTATAATGGATATTCAGCATAATTTTATTTGTTTTTTAAGTAATCCTCATACATTGCGGAAAGAATTTTGTCTATGAATAGCGGGAATTATGAGCTACACATATCGATATATTTTAAATATTCACATGCATGTTTTTTTAACAATTTAAAGCTTTTATGTTAGTGAGTGCATTATAGCCCCACAATGAAACAAATTTAGAAGTACAATTAACGTTAACACACTTATCTTAACGAATTCATGCCTTTATTGGGAAGGTTAAGGAGTCACAGGTAGGAGTGCGTTTTAAATGCCAGTACGTTACACCTTTGTGTGCGTGTGTGGACAAGACAAAGGTTGATCGAAGGCTTTTGTGGAAAAGCCAGGGAGCAGTTCGTTTTGATTCGTGCCTTCTTACCAAATTGCCTGTCTGAATCCGTGCTATACCTTGATGAAGGAGAAAAAATATCGAATTCCCTTAGTCAAGGGTGGCTTTTCCCAAGAATTACGTGACGGAAAGGAAGGCTTTAAATGGTTATCTTTGTAGGTATGTGCGTTCGCACACACCTACGTACATCCTGAAGCGATTGCTGGTGTAGGTAAAAGAATTAAAATTTTTCCCGTGTTTCAACATTGTTTTAAAATACTTTTGCACATTTGTTTTTGATTTAACCAAAGCTTACGAGATTTAAACTCTACTGTACTTTCCTCTCCATAAAACCATTTTTCTAAACAAAGTGCTTTAAAACTTAGAGATTTAAGATATTTTCTTGCATTTGCCAACAAGGAATAATTTCTGCGTTCGTTAATATGACTGAATCCACTAGAGTAGATGCAACATTAGCGGCAAAAATATGCACCTGCATGTGGGCGTAAATTTAAGCAAGAGTTCACACACTCTCAGCAAATATTGTCCAAAATCTAGCTTGAATATTGTTTACAAAGGTGTATTTCCAGATACTAGCCATAGCAAGTCGAGCATTATAAACTGAGTCTTTGTTTATGATGCCAACAATAATCTCAGCCATCGTTAATACGCAGTGTACTTTGTAATTATCTTGACGACTAAATAACCACAAGTCTCGCAGCTGGAGATGAACAAGAATGAAAAAATGGAATTTTAGTGTTTTGTTTATCGGATTTCTCTATAATAGAACAATCTTGAATTTAACACTAAAATATGCTCCTTTTTAAAACTGTGCATTGAGTAAGGTTTAAGGGTCGCCTTGATCCCTCCCAGTTAAAGCTATGGCTCATTCTACTCTAGACCGAAAGATGAAGAATTGCTTCCAGTCACTGACTTCATAAAGAATTAATCGGGAGAGAGAGGGGAGTGGAAATTTTCCCTCATCATAAAGTGAAATGTCCCAACTTGTAGCGATAGTAGTAGCGCCCAAGCGTAGAAGGAGATTTAAGTAAGCATTGTAGGTGAACAAACCAGATAAGGAGACCGTCTGGGTGAAAACCAAACGATAAGTCGATTAATTGTCCTGCAATCTCTCTTAAATATTGGAAGGGATTTTAGGTGCTCTGTTTTTATGTTCAGCATACTCAAGCAATGAAAATTTGAAGGACCAATAATAATGTACCACTTTTCGGAGGCAGGAATGCAGCATTTCAAAAATTTATTCAAAATGTGCATAAGGTTGAAATTACAAGCCTTTTGTTTATGTATTTTAGTTCAGAGGGTGATGTTTTTCTCAAATCTGGTGAAACAGATCTTCCTTCTCCTGTCTCAGGTAAATGACACCTTGGCAATTTATAAAGCTGTTATTTGGATACATTTTGAACATGGAATCAAAGTGCTATGAGTGTGGTTCTGTGGAACTTTACTATTTTCCTTCGACTGGTCCGCCGCTTGGACCATTCGAAGTTGTACAAGTTAGACTTTACGTCGTCCTCTGTTGAGTCTATCTGATTTTTGCCTACCTACATTTTGAATGAACTGACCTTATGTGTTTCATTCCAGTAGACCTATGAGATTACCACAAATGGTGCATGGATGACAGACTTGCAAAATCTAACTCCACCATGTGGCAGTGTGGGCTTAAATCAGACTCTTAGGCGCTGCACACAATTCTCTTCAAGACCTAGACGCTGAGATACAGTTTTCCTCTGAAGCGATCCCGTTATTAAGTGTGGGAGGTGTCAAAGAAATGCCGCCTTCAAGATAGTTACTGTTTATCATGAAAAGTATTGACAATACATGAGTCAATTTTAACTGTCTCCAAACTCTCAGACCAAATGTACCCTTTAAGAATGTAATTTCTTTTCTGATCCAAAGTGACCTAAAATATTTAAGTCCCTTTCGGGACGCATCAAGTAACGATGAAATGATACAATCGGAATGTTCACTTTCTAATGCGGAAATGAACATTTTCAAGGACATAAATAACGGCTCGGCAGAGTTTTTTTTCCAATGCCCTAGTTTCATGCCAATGTACTTCTCATTTCAGGCGAAGACTATGACATGCTTGCTGAGGCTACAAAGAAAGAACTGGAGTGGTGTCTTCAACAGCTTGAAAATATTCAAACCAAACGACCGGTGTCTGATATGGCTACCACCAAGGTAGATTTCTAACCTGTTTTAGCATGAACAGCTACCAATACGGAATGTTAAGTCAGCTTAAGTAGGTCAGGAGTTTGTGAGAATATGTGGGTGATGGACAGCTCCTGAGTTATTCTGTATGTTTGTACGATAGTACAAAATTTCACAGCTTAGGCCATAGCCTGGATCCGAACACATTTGTGTGATGCCAGCTTTAGTACTTAAAAATAAAAAAGAATCAACGCCGGTTTAAGGGGACGTATTGTTAGTTTGTGTTTTGAAACAAAAAACATCTGAGCAGAAGGTCAATTTTGTCCTATCATGATGCGATAATATGGCTAAGTGACAACTTTTTAGTTCCTCACACTGTAACGATGGACCTGAATTTTGTTACTGAGGTGGTATATCTACCATCGTAACCGAAAATCTGAGATAAAATTGGAACGCCCTCCAGAAATTACACATTAGCCAAGTCAATTTAGTATGAATTTCCTGTGTTAGTTGATGCATTTTGCTAAAGTTTTGGCATGAGAAGTGGTTGATGTCGGTTGGAGGAAAGGGAGTCTAAGTTTAGTTCCTTTTCCACTTGTCAGTTTCTCTCAGTTTAAACAAAGCTAGCGTAACTAGGACTAAATGCTTACCGTAGGCTTGGATTAATTTACCAGCTGTTGAGCCAAGCGTGTTAGCACGTGATTAGGGAGGACAGCCTCGGAAAACTATATTGACTAGGTGGTTGCCAAAAAACAATAACAATAACACAATCAACAAATCGAATGCAGGCTGAACCTTGGTCTAATGCTTAATTGTATCCACACATTCGTCCAAAGTCAAATTTTGCCAATGGCTATGTTTGCATTTAATTGACTTCATTCTAGAACGGCACTTTAATAATTTCAACCGAATAAATTTATGAAGAAGTTTACAGGGAGTCACTTCTTCTAAAAAACGGTGGGAGTTCTAAGTTTCTCCAGTCTTCATATTCTGTCTTTAAATATTCCAATTCATTGGACAGAAGTTGACCTTTTGTCAATAAGAACTGATGCTACCAGAGCTAAGTTGCAATAAATTTGTCTATTTTATGTATTTTTTGTAAAACAATATCATCACTCTAAAAAAGTCATGTCCGAAAACTCCCATGTGTGAATACCAATGGTTCCATTTTCATCTTCTAAAATGGACATTTGCCATTCACGTAGCACCTTTGAGATAACTAACTGTGTAAGGAAGTTACTTCAGTTTTCGTGATGCGGATTCCACTCCAAAGCTTCATTACATTAAAGCACTGAAAGTAACTATCTTTTCTAAAGTACCTTTAAATGTATAATTCTATCGTTTGTTTAAAGCCGAGGAACTAGGATTCTTCACTTTTTCAGCGAAGTTGAGGAAGAATGAAAGTATACTAATGTATTCAAAATGTATTTACATGCTTTAAAAACAAATAGTTGATTATATCTTTCTAGTTCTATTCAGACGGAAAATTCTCATTGGAATCTATTCATTGCATGCTGGGTTTTCTCAAAAAAATGTTCTGCTCAAAGGAATTTGAGAAATCAGTTCTAAAGGGAAAGGTAGTTAATCTCCATTTATCCTCCTAGTTTAAACGTCTACTCAGTCAAAAACTCGGTAGCTTCGGCAGTACGGACAAGACGCGAAATCAAATCTCCGAGTATATATCCAAAACCTTTATGGGTAAGCCGATAATTTTCCCTTTTATCTATACTTCAAATCTGAAAATATGGCAAGTATGAATGCATTTGTAAATTGTGGATGCGGTAAGTTTGTTTAAATGCCCTTTTTGCCTTCTTGATAAACAAGGTGACTTGTTTGAGGGTGATTCCCATCTAAGGATACAATGTTACCATGCTAGAGAAATGCAAATAGCTTGAATATTTAAAGACGTAAGCCTTAACACAAACCTGTCTTTTAAGTGTGTCACTAAGGAAGCACCGTTGATTTGGATGTCCAAGTGGGACGATTATTCATCTACTATAAATTGCTTAGTTGCTTTGATTAAAAACTTGTGTTTTTAAGGAGGGACTTTTTAAAATATGCATTTAGTCATAAATTCCTTTTCGCGTTGCACGTCTTACAAACGTTAGAAGATAAGACATATTTCACCTCTGTACAAATATCGATACTAAAGTGCACTGATTTTATTCATTTATCCCTTAAAATCACATTATTCGCAAGTATAATCCAATATCTGATACCTGCTTTGTGTAGAGATAAATAAAATTGTCCCATATGTCGTTAAAACTTAACTGGTATTTGCTTTCACAGAAAAACAGCTTAATAACCAAAAAAATTTAGAAACCATAAGTTGTGTTCCGACTGTCGGGCATTTTAGGTCATTTAGTAGACAGCTGTCATCCATGGCTTTCAAAAAACGCGATTTGTATCTTTTTTTGCTAGCTGTAAGTTGTTACTTATGAATATTGTTGGGTATTACTAGTTGAGGAAGAACTATTGATGTAATTTGAACAGCGGATGGAAATTTAAGATTAGAGGAAGTAGCAGCTGTCGGGAATCAGCGGAAGTGATTTTTCCTCTTTAATGGCCTGAAGTTAAACTACTTTCGATTTGGTTATTACTGTAAAGTCATTTTCATTATTAAGCACAAAATCTCGGTTCAGTAATACCACCATTTTAGTTACAATCAGTTTCACAAATGAACAGATCTATTCACACTGTCTTGCATCTCTAAATAGTGTGCTTTTTTGCAATAAACAGAAATACACAGTCCAAAACGATGGATTATTAAGTTATAAATGCTACCTTAGGCTTATATATCATGCAGTATTTGTACATATGTTCCTAAGCACTTTTAGGTCTTTGTCTATTAAGTCCTCAGATATCAGAGATACTACTTCTACATTTTAATTTTTAAAGGTGTGCAGTTTATTCAGAGACCTCCTCAAGAGAAATGGGAGAACAAGTCACCGTCCAGCCTTAGTATACCTTATTGTGAATCAGGCTCATTTGCAGATATGTCGTTAAAAGCGATTAAACTGACTTTATGATAGAAAAAAGTTTTTTGGCTTGATGCAACAAATGGTAATCATTAACTCATGGTGCTTAGCTTGTCACAAAAGCTAGACGTCAAATACATGCCAATGAAGTGGTAATAATGTCGATATTTTTTGACCTTAGTAGCCTAATCTTTGCGGTACAATACCAAAATGGCCTAGAAGTTAACTTTCCAACTCACCTCTACTGTCGTTATTAGGTATTTCAGTATGAAGGGATATGTATTGTTAAAGAAAAGGAAGTAGGGGACTGTGGTCATCGGTCAAATGCCACAACCAAACAGCAGCACCATAATTGCGCAGGTTGGGGAACCCAAACGGTCATAATTATTATTCAAAATCTATAATTTTACTATATACTCTCTCTCCTCTGAGCACCATCCCCTTTATTTTTCTGCATGTTCTAATTAACTGCAATTGAAGGTAGGATTCGGGTTGGTGAATTTTCATTGTAGAGGAAGCATAATTCATCAGCAGAAGTAAATGCGAAAGGTTTGGTTGAGATTTCTGGCCATCTTGTTCTCTGCAGGGCGAGCTGTATTAGAAAAGTAGTGATTCGAGCGAAATTACTAATGCCAGCTCATTTTCCTAGTAATATGGGTATAAAATCGACATACCAGCATTCATATTCACAAAACATGGCAGAAATAATTGTAAATTGTTCCTTAAAACCTTATGCTACTTTGTTAATGGTTGTTAAACAGAGTGGAAAACTGAAAAAGTGGACTTTTTTTTAACCATTCTGTAGTGAGTCTCCACGGCATCAACCATGCATCCTTCCTCCTATAATGTTTACTTTTTATAAAGAGTCTGAAATCCCCCATATTTTAGAAGAGTATTCAGAGCAAGATGACAACGAGAACGAGGAGGCTGAAAGCAGTTCCAATGCTATAGCGACGGGAAGTGAGGCTCTAGGGAATTCTCGAACCGACGTGACAGGCTTCTCTCTGGAATCCTCCGCAGACGGTGCCGACTTGCGAATTTCGAAGCGCTTCTCCAAGAGTGAACATTCTGAGGCATCCGCAATTGCTACCGCCCTCGATACTACTGCTCCTTCAATTACTACGGACTCGAACTTAGAAGATGTAAATACAACCAGTGACGAGAAAAATTTGGACAATCTTCCCTACCTAGGTATCAAGACACCCAATGATGAAGCCATTCAAAAGGTGAGAGATCAAATCCATTCGCTTACTTTAATTATCCTTGTTGAATCGAATTAATTATCGGACAGGGAGCTGTCGTATGTTGTCTGGACGAATTTTATTGTTTTACCAGTAACATTGTTTCTGATTAGTTAGTTATGCTTCTGGCGTTCCTAAATTCTTTGAGCCTTTTGTGGAAGAAAAGCTGATTTTATTCGAGGCTACCTACCTATCTCATTTTCACTCCAGATTTTCTGACACATTCTTTTTAACCTAACCTAACTAAATTTTAAAATAATTTGCGTATCTACTAAGGGTTTACGGTAAAGTTCACTCATTTATACGGATAAACTGCACCGATTATTTACGATTTTGCCTTTGCCACCTTTTAAAGGATTCATGGTGTAATTTTTAAGGTGGACTTAAGAAGTCGTTAATGGTTTATTTATAAAAATGTGTCGAAGCGACACAAGTGACACTTTATACTTGATAATTCGAAAGGCTTTCAATAAACTTACAACAACGGTTCTTCAGTATCATTTGAGCATTTCTGAGACTCACGGCAAGGTTTCTGAAGCAATAAAAATGCTTCTGCTTTGTTTTTATACCTGAATTAAATGCAAGAAGGCTGTGGTGACGACTATTTCCGGATGAATTGTCAAGGAATTTTATGAGGCTAAAATGAAACCTACATGCCTATTGTCATGGAAAGCCAAAAGGTATAGCAAGTTTAAGTTGTATGAGTGATTATCTTCTCATTGTTTTGGTCACATAAAGATGAAATATTTGTTAACGTCTCAATATTGCCGCACCTTCAGACGTACTTTAATTATTCATACTTTTTAAACAAATGCATTATAAAGGGGATTCTCCATAGAGGGTATTGTAAAAATTCCCTGATAAGTAGACCATTTGCTAATGCAAATAATCCAGACTGGGACTCGTCTTAAAGGCATCATGTCACATTCAGTTACTTTATGACCCTCCGCTGTTTCTATTTTCGTGTCACTCTGCAGTGCTGCCGATATCCTCAGTACAGTTATTACCGCCCCTTCAAAATATCCTGCGCCATGTTGTTTTACAAATGATCATCAAAATTGCTTAAGTTTGAATTTCACACCTTGAAACGAGGAAAATATGCAAACTTTTTGGGCTTAAACCATTGCGGTATGATCTTGGAATCGGTGACTGGTAGGTTTAAAGGTAGTGAGTGCCCCTGATGACCAGATAACGAAATAATTAACATTATCTGGTATGCTGGACACCATTTGTGGTGCTTACCTGGACTGAATAAGACCTACTCTTACTTAACCTAAAAAGGGGCTTGCAATCATTTTTAAAAAAAATGTAATTTTGAAAATACCCAACCCGCATGCCTTAAAAATTCGATCAGAAATGATTATTCCCCTCATTCTTTCCGGTTTGAAGTTTTTGATTTTTTATTTATCCACCTGTGTTTAATTAGCTACCAACGCTAAGATAACAACTTAATTCATACTTTTCACCAATGGTTTTTAAAAGACAATATAATAAAGCTTTCAGATTAGTGATTTCTGGTAAGTGAATCGTAAGCAATGTCCTACATGATCATTAAATCTAAGAGCACAGTTGGCGTCACTGACGGGTGCAGCTATGTAGCCATTCATGATAGGACACATAAGTGCATTAAGGTCTTTTAAGTCGTTGAGTATGTAAATCGCATCTAAGTGCACCATTTTCGACAAATATTCTCTAAAAATGCAACGTGACGTCGATAAAAGGGAATAAACATGTTCTAAAGTTCATTGTGCTTCAAGTTAAAGTAAATTATCTCTGTAGATGCCAAGTCAATAAAGAAAGTGTTTGTTAGCAGTTGAATAATGCATCGGAATTCAAAAGGGGTGGCATAAATACATTTTATACTGAATGCCTTTTAATTTGAATCCTAACAAACGAATGCTTTTGGGATAACTCTGACTGTATCACAATTTGATACAGAAGGGCTGAAAAGGTAGGTACAGAGGATAGCTTGATCTCTAAGTCATGCGAGATCAATGTGAAAGCATTTATGTGGTGAGATGGATATCAATTTATCAATGCGCAAAATGCAAGTAAATGTCTACGAAACGCCCAAAAATGCATGAGATTATTCTTAGGGATATTTTGGTACCAAAAGATTATGAACAAAAATAATTGACCTTATCCTGAAAATAGCACATTAAGCTAAAATGATTTCGTGCAAATGAACCAGGTCGACTTTTATAAAACTGGGATTTTCTAGCCATTTTTCTCATTCAAAGTGCATTTAGTATCATTTATGGGGCAAATTACGGAATTATAAAACCGTTGTAGGAGCTGGAAACCTCGCTGGATAGTTGGAGTTTGAACATGTTTCACATTGATACACTATCCGAGCACCATTCACTCACAGTCGTGGCCTATCGAATTTTCTCAGTAAGTTCCAAATTTATCGCTTAAACATATTTTCTCATTCATTATTTAGACCTCCTCTAAGTAATGGAAAATTAGAACAATGAGATCAAGGAGGTATTACCGATTTTGGGTTTAAAACAGGTTCTGCAGTGCAAGGATCACAAGAATATACAACTTTGGCTATCTAAGGAGATAAATTAGATAGAAAGTAATATTTAGGCAGCAAATATTTCTTGTTACCGAATTGTGTTTCTTCATCACTTCAGCAGCAGAAAACTGTTCAGGTTTAAGGGAACCATAATGACCAAAGCGTATGTAATAATCACAAAATGACCATTCTTTTCTTATTGACCGTAAATCCGCGTAGTTTCAATTTTGCATCTTAAAATTCACACGTCTTAACTTTATAGACCATGAATGGAACGATACATTCATGGTATGACAAAAGGCAAACAAAATACGAGAATATCATTAAGCATTGTTCTTCGTTCCATTTTTTCGAGATTGCCTCATTTAATTGTAAATAATTCATATTTCAAAGCATCATTATCAAAGCTTACATGCTTTTGTGTGAATTCAACTAATAGTTGAGGAAATTCATTATGCTTTAGGGCTGATTATATTCAAGCAAGTGCTTGCTCTACGCACCGATTAAATTGTGCCAAAATTCTCCAACTTTAGCGGAACTTTTTTTCCAGTGATCGGTTATGGTAAAACACGCGAATTTAACAATCATCTGCTTTTCTTTACATATTACGACTGGTTTTTAATATGCGTGAATTTCGAATCCTACCAAAGTCCTACACGCTAAAAGATGTTAGTCAGTCAATTTGATAAAAATTGAGGCTATTCATTTACTACTTATCTTTTCCTCCTAATCTCTTCCCCCTTATTTGGCATTTTCCTCTCTTTAGAAACGCGGACTCTTCCATACCTTTAACATTGACCCCGCTACCTTTGTCACGTATATCCTTCGTTTGGAAGCAGCTTACCATAGCACGAATCCCTACCATAACCACATCCACGGTGCTGATGTGCTTCAAACCGTCCATGTACTTCTGCAGGCCGAAACTCTTGATGTGAGTCTAAAATTTCAATTTATTTTTTCCAACATATTTGCTCACCAGTATTGCCTACTTTAAACTGCTCAAGATCCTGCGATCGTCGTGTGATGATGTAAAAGTTTCGTTAGCTATTTGATATCCCAGATCATTATTACAGGTGTACTTGCAATGCAGTCTCTAAAACCCAATAAAGCGCCCGATAAGGTCATGAAAAACCACTGGCTGTACTCCTCCTGAGTCTAATTAATGCACCCGTGAGGTCACAGGTTCGAAGGCTACTGTTTGGCTCCTTTGCAAGGTCATAATTTCTGATGGAGCTGTTTTTTTATTTTCTTAGTTACATGCAGTTTAAACCTGATTTTAAGGCACTCAAAGCAATTTAAAACTTTCTGTTCTCCGATTGCAGCACGTCTTTAGTGATATTGAGATACTTTCCTCACTATTTGCTTCCGCAATCCACGATGTTCATCATCCCGGTGTAACAAACCAATTTCTTATCAACACAGGTAAGTTTATTTTTCATATTTTCTTCAGATATCTTAATAGCAAAAATTTCACATTTAGTGATATGCAACCCGCATTTGCGGGAAAAAACTATGGAGCGGCATTTTTTGTACGAGAAACTACGGATCAGCTGAGATTTTGCATCCGTACAGAATAATATAGGCAGTTCGCTAAATTACTAAAAGCAAATTTTAAGCTAAATTTGGAATTTCATAAGTTTGCTTTCTAATAATGGCAAGTTCCTGTGTTCTGGGGATAGAACCAAATCACAAAATTTAATTCTTTTAAAACTCATCACTTAGTTAAGTGACTTTTTTGGATTTGCACCAGGTCACAAATTAGCCCTTCTCTACAATGATGCATCAGTTCTGGAAAATCATCACCTCTCCGTGGCCTTCAAGTTGCTGACCGAACCAGCCTGTAATATTTTCGCTAACCTAGCGCCTAAACAAAGGCAGCTCCTTCGACGCCTTGTCATTGAACTGGTGAGTCATCCATCTTTGTCACACACCTTTTCGTTAGATGGATTTTGTGCATGCGGATAGGTAGTCACACAAAATTGTCACTTAAAAGCATCAAATTTTTAGACAGGAAAGGAAGTGATCACTTGCAGGATTGAACCTGCTCATCCCACCAACGGGATTTGTAATGCAACTAGGAAACACTTCGTGAAGTAAATAACATTCATAATCTCCGCTTTCTAATATTTGAAAATCGGTTTACTTGAAATATTTTTCCTGTCAGGAGCAAAACAGTCTACACCTAGGGATAGAAATAAATTCATAACTTAAAATAGTATCCTGTGGCTCGCAGGAACCTGATGGTTATTCTTGAAGAAAGTCGAACCTCTTTTACCTGCCTTAGGTAGCTATTTTACCTAGCATCAGGCGTTTATCATTTCTTAGGATATTTAATCAATTAACAAATTAAACAATCGATATATTAATCATTAACACAACGATCTTGGTACTATTGGTGAGAATAAAGGCGCTTAGAAGTCAAAATTCTTCATATTATGTGCTGTTGTAATCGTATTTTATTATATGCTCGATTAAAACTTTATCAATTTGCATTAATTTGTTGTACTTTGTATTCTTGCAGTACTATTGTTGAGGTGATTCTATAAAGAAGCAGTACATGTGCACATTGGGCATTGTCAGTGCCGTCGTCTTGACAACGATCCGATAGATTAAAGAATCGTTAACTTGCACTTATTTCTTTTATTCCATTTTAAAGAGAGTTTTAAATCATAGAAGAGTGTTTTATTGATTCCTACTGTATCGTTTCATTGAAAGAAGACGGCCTTCTCAAATATTCACTCAGGAAAACTCTAGTCCTTATTCTTGCCTAGTGCGCTCAATTTTATCGCATGAAATAACTCGTGCACTTTTTTTTTACCATTTAAAGTGGTCTGCTCTCATGACATGAGAGTTGCCCGATGTTTTGTAAAATCATTGCTAATGAAAAAGTCTAGGGCACATTTTCGGATAAGAGATGTGTGTGATACGTAAGGGCTCTCGAATGGATACCTGAATTTATGGAGGAGAAAGGCGACTGAATCCCGAAATCACATAGGCTAGGGCTCATTTTTTCCTATGTTGATCCACTAGAAGTTCGGTCTGGAATTGCCTTCAATAATGAGTGACAAAGGGATTTAAAAATTTGGCCATTCCATAAGTTTATGGTCCCGGTGAACTTCTGCAAACATCCATAAAATTTAAGCGTGGAAATAAGTGCTGATTATTTTCGTAAGTTGCTTTCAATCCCTTTTTGGAAGTTTAAACTTTGACCACAAAGTAAAGACTGTTCTCATGACGTAAAAATGCTCTGTTCTCAGTCCATTACTTTATCCCACCACTGAAAGAGGAAACACTAGTTGTATTTCATAGTAGAATACTTTAGAGAATCGTTTATTCCCTAAATTAGTCAATAAAGTTAGAAGTGCAAATCATACATTCATTCATTCCTATCTTTCATGACTGACTTCAGAATCAACCTTGCTTAAGAAATTCAAATTATCAAAAAAATTGTGTGTACGTTAAAAAATTCCATTTTATCTACTTTTAACAGTGACATCATTTCGACTTGTAAAGTGCTCGAAGGACTTCACGTATAAAACGGGTCTATGCAAAGAAATACATTATTGATGTTTTATAGCTTCAATTACTTGTTTTGCATCATACAGTTAAAAATATGTAACTTTTACAGAATCATCTTTACTTATATTTTGCTACAAATTTGAGAGCAGATTCCACCCTGTTGGTTGATGTTCAAAGCTTCGAATGCGACCGCACTAAATGGCTTTAGATCAATTGCATTCTGCCTTCATGCAGACATTCACCTACAGCACAATTCGTCAAGTCTGAACTATGTCTAGTTGATATCGCCCGAATTGTGAAGTCATTTACTTGTCTACCACCCATCAAAGTTAGGTTGCATCCATTCATTCATATGGTTCCATTGCAGCAGCACCTCTATAGTTATTTACGTATGAGTTATTCTTATTTAATTTTGTGATGTGTCCTGGTGTAAACACCTGCGGTTATGTTCAGGAGTTTTTAGTACCTGGTTTAGAGTCGGATCTGCTAAATTTGGACCGTTATTTTTACCCTCATGCTTATGATAACCTAAAACGAAGACCTAGTGCTAAATTTTGGGGCTTCTTTCTCTTATTACCTAAGTAAATCTAAACATTTTGGCCCAAAAGAAGCTAAAATAAGTAATTTTAAATGTAATTATTAGTTAAAACGGAAATCATGCACAAAAGAAGACTCAGTATAATACGACGCTGGCGTCCCGCTGGGAGGGTACCATATCTGTCAGACTCTACTCATATTTCTTCTGTTTTTGAACAAGTATATTCAAAAAAACTTGGTGAAAGAGTCACGTGTACTCCTTGACTTCCGTGTTTATGGTGAAATGCTTTTAAGAACTGCTTTTGTCAGGTCTAAACAATGGGAGGCTGGCCAACGTCAAATTACTTATTCGGTTGAGATCTAAGATGGCTCAATGATACGCAGTAGGGACTGGTATCTTTAACCGTAATTATTCCTCTTCAGTGTAAATGTTGCTAGAATTTCTATTTCTTACATTTTTCTTCTGAAATGGTATTTTTATCCGAACGAAAGTAGTTGCATGAGAATGGCATGTATCTTAGATGACAAGATTTTAGGAAAATAATGAGCTAAGGTTCGCTAAAATTTGCGAAGTTAATCAGAAAGATTTTTCCAATTGTGTAAGGCAATCTTAAACATCATAGGCAGTTTGTAAACATTATTTTGCTGTAAATTAGGAGAATGCTAGAGAGAGGTAGTTTTTTCCAACCGAGCTTTCATTAACAGAATAGTATATTCACCCCTTTTTAAATACTCTTAATTGAAATGTTGGTTTCACGTAATTAGAATGAATTAAACAACTAAGACATTGAGTATGACATTTTTTTCCTCTAAAGGGGTGGCGTTACCTCCCTTTTAATAAAAAAAAGAGATATTTACGCAAATAGGTGGATGTACGATTATGGCGTTTTTCAGCTCCTTGATACTTTAGCCTTAACCGTTAAAGTTGCCCCTGATCTGTCGCCTTAGAAGGGTGTTATAATCTTAGGGTAACGGTAGAGCTCCGACTCTTTCCTGATGACAAAGGAAGTCCCAATACTAGGGTAAAATACGTATTGCCGACCTACAAAACGGCCAAGGGGCTTAGTGACAAAGCCTGGCGACCATGCTGTCTAGCGGAAGTACAAAGGCGGCGCCTTAGATGCCTGAATTACCAAAACAGAGGTAAACACATAATCAGAGCATTAGAGATGCAATTTGAACGCATCGTAAAACAAAGCTAGATTTCGATTAGTTTGGTAAATTAAACCCATACAAAATGGGGTCTTGCAAATAAGTTATTAATAATACTTGAAGCCCGATTTGGCTTATTTTTTAAAAAAATAAATTTTTTTAAGTCAAAGATATAATTTACATTTAAAAATCTCTTCTGATTTAGAAAAGTTTCGTTCTGCTATACAGGTTTTTTCTACGTCACTTAATCTTTCAATGTGGTTTCCAGCATGCACTGTCATGCTTCCTGGTACGACTAGACTCAAACTCGTCAATCTTTCCTTTTTTAAAATTAAAAGGTACTGTTTAGCCTTCACCAGCAGATATCCTTGTAATAACAGTCACAATAGTCACTTTGGACGGGTGAATTAATGGTTATTTGGCGACATCGAGCAAGGAATTCAATTAGCAGAAAATTTTGCTGGTGGGAGGCCATTTTAATCCTTCTGTTCGCGATCTCTACTAGCTGCTGCATCGTGCAGGCTGAACACATGATTAGCGCTGGTCCTTTCGCATCAAATCGCTTCTTTTTGATTAATTAGAGTATTTATTTTTGCTCCACTGCTAAAACTGAGTTGTAAAATGAAGTAGTTTTCTTCGGATAAAATTGCTTCGAACTAAAGCTAAGCTAAATTTTGACAGGCAAGGGGTGAATTTGGAGAGAATTTTTACAAGCAAATTGAAATGCTGCCTCGACTAGGAGGGGCTTTCAATGTAAACAGCATCTCAAAAATATGGCAAAATTAGAGAGGCAGAACATTGAATGCGGTACATTGTGGATTTTGGGTAAGGTCGTTACACAAATTCCCAAAAGCATGTCCATTGATGAATGAAGGGGTTTTCTTTACTAGATACTGAATTTCCCTTTTCATGAAAGATGGTCAGAGTGCCTCACAAGCAGGTTAAGTTGAAAAAAGAAATTTGCGCTGGGTATAGCTGTCAGAGCTTTTTAATTATGCCACTTTTATGGCATAAAAGGAATGCAGGAAGAGGTTATAAAGTTACCTACTGCTCGCATAATTTTATGCTTCATGATTGCTAAAGTTCACGCTTCCCCTCTATACTACACTTTTTTCTGTCATTGGTTCTTTCATTCAATATTAGCAGTTAAGTTGGCACGTAATTTTTGAGGAATACGGGCGCATTGCAAATACCACTAGAAATCCAATCTTTTAGTAAATGTACACTAACTACAGATTGCATATGAATTTCTCAACTTCAGATAAGTTGTTTCCTTCCGTTACATATTTATGGTTTTTAAGGGGGACCTGCAGCTGTTGATGTGACCGAACCTACATCACCGAGCATTTAAAGATATTTGAGCGCATTTGTAGCTGCTAATGCTAGAAATTTAGAAAATGTGATAGAGTTATTGGCCTTTTTGTATTTTTTTGTTTTAGGTTTTGGCAACTGACATGTCAAAGCATATGAACCTACTTGCAGAACTACGCACAATGGTTGAGACGAAGGAACTCACTGGAACTGGCTATCTCAGCCTCGACGATCACAATGATCGTAGTCTGGCAAGTCATCTGATTTTCTAGTATTTTTCTAAGGACTAAACTTTTGCTGTATAAGTTGTAAATTATTTTTGAATCCACGCTGTTGCTTTTGGAATGCTACTATGCTATACCTCGTGTGATGTTTATGATAAAATTGAAGTTGATACTCCTAATTTTTTCTAAAAATTGCCAGTTCTTAACCGTGTAAAACTTATAAAGTATTTAAAAATGGGCTTGTATTAGATAGCCTCTTAGTTTATTCATATAATTTGATAATACTTATCACTAATACTCTCATATTGTCATCACATTTGACAACGAAGAAATTATAGATCTAATCATTTATATTCTATGTTTTGACCCTACATCAGATTTCGGTCTACTACTATCAAAAAAATTTGCCTCTTGCCACTGTAAAATGTGTCGTATCCAACCATGGTTCAATTTAATGTTTACCATTTTTCCTTGGTGCGTTTAATACCTTTAAATGAAAACCCCTTTTCGAAATTGGATTGATAAATGCCATTCGTGTAACGAATCAAACATTTGTTCATAGTCCGTAGCTTCTGAAAGTCAGAAGTTCTTTTACTCATGGTTGCATAAATTTTATTCTTTTAAGACACTAAAATATAAATAACTTTAGCGCCTTCCATTGCACACACATAATTTGGGATGGATGGGTAAATTTAGTAGGACTCCAAATGCAAACTAACTTTGCCTTGTCATGTAGATTTGGAATGCTTTCAGTTTGCGATTTAATTACGTGCTAGTGTTAGGTTTCACCAATCAAGGTTTTAACAATGAAACGAAAATAGCTAATTCTTGCTTGTACTTTCCGAGTTTACACATGTAATGTTGATGCAACTTTCTCAAGGGAATGTTCTTATCGCTGAAAGAGGCGCCCACATGGGCACAAAACCCCACCTGTTCCGAAATAAAAGTGGCAAGAATTATCATACCTATGATCCGTTATAAATCGTTACGTACATTCACAAGGCCTGCTTAGGATGCATATCCTGCAAGTAGTCATATTTCGTCGATTAACGCCCCATGAAACAGATAAAGCAAACACCTTTCCTGTGATAATATGCTGTTAGACATTTTTGCGGTTGCGATTGGCTGCGGCATATTCATCTTACGGTCTTAACAACGTAGGGAGCTAGTCAACCTTTAAGAGTGTTAAAGTATCTTTTAAATTTTATTAATTAATAAATGGGCGACTCTTTAAGTTAAATGCTAGAGAGTATTTTTGAAATTTTACCCAGACCCCATATGTGTGACCATCGAGACACGGGCTTATTAAATGTGTTTCAAATATGTTAACGTGGCCACTTTCGTGTAGCAAAATTCTCTTGATAGTAAAACCGACCAACATCTAGTCTGCATGCGAGAGTTATCAAAATTGCAGGTTTATTTAAACTGCAAAAGCCTTCAACAACAAATTTTAAGGCGTTTTGGAATGGCAAGATTGTTGCATAATCAGCTTAATTATCTTAAGCAGTGGGTAGAATATTCACTCAGTATAAGACATGCATCTTTTACTCACAGTATTGAGCATTAAAATCAGGACCGAAAAAAGATTTCTCTATCTGGATTTAATTCAACCAAGACAAGTAAACAATTGTAAATTTATTTCTCTGTGTATCACGCGACAGATTGGATGCGAAAACGGGCATTCCAACTTGGTTGTAGGCTCAGTCCGGGGCAAAATCCGAAAAAAATATTTTAAAATCATTCGCTGTCGTGTGATTTTCTATTTAGAAGGCAGTAGAAGTCCAAGACGAAGAGAGCACTGGTTTGATTGAGAAGGTTTTTGTCCTGGAACGCAGAATGCTTTGATCACTTAATAGAAGTGAACAAAAACCGACTCGACTTTTGGCTTCAAAGTCATTTTCAGTTATTGAAAATTAAGCTGTCCGCAATATTTTGAAGGCTCATTCTTTTCTTAATTTTTTAACAAATTTTTGTATATTTGTTCAAATTCAATAAACCTATTGCACAATCATCTTTTTTCTACCAGGAATTAGATTTCAAAATGGCTGGTCGAATTTTATGCCACTAAAAAGCAAAGATAATCCGTAATGTGAGGGAAAGCAGTAGGTACATGAATATCTGGCCCAAATTGCTATTAAATTGGATGACCTTTGATGAATGCAAACCGCTAATTATTGGCACTTTGGATTATAACTGCTACCTTCTCTTAACGACCAACCGTTAATTACTTAAAAGGGTGAAATGGTGAATGTCTGAGGGTCCTTTTTTAAAAATTGTATCTCATGGACCTGTTGACTCCGTGCACTTGTCAAGAACGTCAAGATAAATCTTTTTGTTGAGTGAATTCAATTAGGTTTTTTCCAAATGATCGACTTCAGGGCAGTAAGGAATGATTAATTGCCCCAAATTCTGGGCTCTAAAGGAGGAGATTAAAGTGTCGCATTTCGCTGTTTCCATCCTGACTTAAATGTTATTTACCTTCATCAGTTGGTCTAAATTTATCCTTGTGGTGCTAAATGACCGGTTGCTTATGCAAGTGTATCCAAAATCCATCATAGTCTTTTCGTCTGTTTTAAGTTCTGCAAAGATATTTCGGTAGAAATTATCCCCACATAAGGACAACTATATAACTTATGTAGTTGGTTAGATTGGTAGCTGATTTTCCATTATAGGGTCAGACATTCACCTTAAGTAAAAGTCGGTTAAACGGGATGCATTAGTTTATGTCTCAAGGTAGCTTTTTTACCGTTGGTTAGTCATGCGCCTTCAGGCTTAACGCGGTTTTTTAGATCATGCGACAGTAATGACAAGAGTGCTTCCCTTAAAAAATTAGGCAGGTGAACACTTCGAGAAAGGTTTAGTTTATTCACTTGCCTGATCTAATTTGATATGAAAGTGGCAGATTTTAACTTTACCATTGAAAGGGTTTGCTTTACTTAGGATTGTAAGAAACAAGTTGGTAATTTCACGCGATCGGCTACTGGATTACCTGCCTTTTCTTATATATTTTACCGAATGAGAACCTTGACAATCGCCTATTAGAGGGAAGGCGCTATGCACCTGAATGGTTATTAACCAGTAAATATTCGTTTGCTCTGAAAATTAGGCCAGAAGCAGAAGTTTTTCATTTATCATTTGTAAAAATTTCGTAATTTTAGCTTGTTTAATAAAGGTGCTTGTTGGGTGTGAAGTTCTGACGAATCCAAAGGCTGCAAGTAGAGAATTTTAAAAGATGTTGATGTAAACAATAACAATCTGAAAGCTTCTTTCTTTTAATTTGTTGCTTCTAGTGTCAAACAGACGAAATAAGCAGTACTTGACTTGATAGTTATTAAGGAATACTCTTAAAAGGCTGGATTGTTTCCCTGTGGATTAAACGACTTCTCAGAATCAAACCATCAAGACTTCTGCCTTTACAACTAAGGTGTAAATCGCAAAAGCACTAGTCGGTAAGATAAAAGAGCTGATTTTGCTGGGTAAGGAAAGATTATTCCTGACTTCGATATCTTCAAGACTTTTCAGTTATTTTTGTGCAGATGAGTGCCCTAACAGACCAAGCTAGTTTAGAACAACACCGACCTCAGCACAACAGCCCGTTTGTGGTTTGAATTTTAGGTTCTACAATGCATGCTGCACTGTGCTGATCTAAGCAGTCCAACAAAGCCCTTTGCCATCTACAAGCAGTGGACTTTCGGTGTTATGGAGGAGTTTTTTAAACAAGGTGACAAAGAGAAGGAACTTGGAATCGAGGTCAGCGCCATGTGTGATCGTGATTCCGTTGTGGTGGACAAGGCTCAAGTAAGTAGCATAAAAAATTCGCTGAAATTATTTTCCTTTTCATCATTATGATTATGCGCCCTCTGCAAAACCCGTCGAAATCGCTTTGCACCTTGTCAAACCTAGTCTTTAAGTCATCTTTTACTTTTGACAGCAGTATTAGTGTGAAATTTTATTTAAAAGAGGAAAATTCGAGAATTTTGGTGATCGAATGTCCCATCCTGAGAAAAGACCTATTTGATGTTCTTATTAATAACTTGTAAAATTGCTTCGAGCATCTTCAAGCCTCGATTGTTTGAATAAATTAAAGCTTTTTAAGTACTTCAACAAGGCAAACAAATGACAATTTCTGGTACTAGTGTAATATGCTGCTTAAAAGCCTTTAAGTAAAGCCAAAACAAATAATTTATTTAAAGGAAAAATTTGTCTGGATCAAACCTGTACTCCTTTTTACCACTGTAAAGATTTGGTCGAGATGTTGTTGACAATGGTTACCCACGCTGACAGGATATGACGACGCTCACTAGCATGGGTGTCATTTAGAGAACTTCCGTTGTTTAGTTCATCTAATTTATAGATCGAGCCTCATAGAACTTTCATCAAAATGTGCTCTGAATGTTACGCAGTCATTACAAATATGGCTTATAGTGAGTGATTTGCTTTCTTAGCATGCACTGTTTGTTCTTCTGTTAATCGTTTGAGGAGAATTATCACCATTTTTAAATCATGTAAATGCTGACTTCCGGTAGTTTTAATGTCAGTAATTTTCGAAACAGCCCCTCGCAATGTGAGTATAGGCGTTTAAAAATTTGTAAAACTCACGGGCACGAAGTGGGCCATAAAAGTAGAAAATTTTGAAGGTTACTTGTGCATGTTATGTGCGGGTTCATGACTGTTAGCCCTTTTAGAGTGACCAAATGATTTGTGCGCCTATCTGTATTCTCAGCTGTGATGACTTACTTACTCTAACGTGCAGGAACTTGGAAAATGCACGTGACTGTGCACATCTATGAGTCACAAAGGTAAGGCGGGTGTCAGTGTGTCAGTCCCCCTACGGTGCCCTACATTCCCGTTAATTTGAATCTTCATAAAGTGTTAGCTAAATCCGATGTGAACCAGGTTTGTCTGCTTTACAAACCGAGTTAGTGTCATGTTTAATATAAGTGATGGAGCGATTCGCCCACACCTGCTTCAACTGAGAAAGTGGGTTAAATTCGCTTGAATTAACAGATGACAATAAGTTTAAAAGACCATCAATTTGTTCTACTTTTTTCCCTACGCAAAGCCCACCGTTTTAAGTTGCTAGCTCTAAATGTTTGATTGCAAATGTGTTCGTATTCAAACGTCACTCTAATGGGCACATCATCGGTACCTCAAAAATTTCCACCCACTACACAACGGGCAGGTATATAGCGTCTTCCTCTTTGCATATGGTACAATACGGTTCATCGAATCGTTAACCATATTCTTCTTACTGGAGGTCAGATAGTTGTGACTAAGACCTACCTATATCATGCAACAAAACTTAGGCATGTGATGGGAAAACTCCTGTAGAAATATCTAGGACTAATGGATTAGGCAGTAAAAAGTCCCGCTCTTGTGAGACAGTGCAAGACCTCACCTCGTATTCCTCAACACTGGCCCTTGAAAAGATTTGCACTTAAGGCTAAGGAGAAAGAGCTTCTACTTTTTAATTGAAAACAACTATCTTTTCCCGGGATCAGTACTGAAGAGTCAAAAATGTAGAACAGACAATCAGGAGACAAGAGTGGGTGGGGTCGGATTACCTTAGTCTAGAGACAAAAACATTACAGTGACGATGAGATTTGTGAAAAGGATGTGAGAAAGGATTATAGACTGCAATCTTGCTTCCTCTAACCGCTAAAGTACTTGAAGAAACTTTGTTGAGATATTTGTGTTTTTTATATGGAAATGGCGTAAATTTATCCTATCATCCCACATTATGGATTGCTTATTTAAACATTCTCAAAGTGGAGAGGCCTGACGCGTCCTCAGTTAATGTGTATAGCAAGCTCGTATTAAGACAATCTGGAGAGTACAGTCAGATTTCTTACATTCATAGTTTTACAAGGAAAGAACCCAAGTTGTAAACACATAGCAATTTGGTTTAGTAACTAAAGTCAAGGAAAATTGGGACCTGTGGAATAAGTCAGTCAAAACAGATGGCAATATTTTTCCGCAAACCATTCTCTAAATGCTAAATACTTTATAAATTTTACAGAGCTGAACTTTTAATGTAGTAATTGGTGAAAAATTGCTGCAGGTAAATCATTGGAAACCAGTTTTCTTTTTGTTGTAAATTTTTACACCCACATGACGCTTTAAAATTATGACGAAATTGTAAAACGGCCTCTTCTCCTACCAAATTGCTCACAGCAATGAGGAAGTCCATTAATAAATCCAAATTTTTAATGTATCATGTCTTTTGTGTTAATAGAATTTTAATTTTAAACCGACCAAAAGGGAGAATTTCTAAATGATTTGTCGCCTGTCACTACCTTTAGTAAATGGTAATAGTTAAACAGCTAATTCACTTAAAGGCAAAGGAATTTTGAACTACTAAACGTAATCTGGTTCCAAAGATGCCGAAAAATCGTTTTAATAAACTATTTTTAAAATGGGTAGGTATGTTACTGTTTAGGTTATTGCTTTTAAACCCAAGTGACCCCTATTTCAAATTCGCAAGTAAAAGTGTCAATACTACTATCTAGTACGTGTGGTACGCATCATGTCAAGAATGTTTTGTCAAATAAGGCGAGCTCTTTGCAACACCCATGTTCAAGAACCACCAACTTCCATTCAAAGGTCATTGACAAGTGGAAATAATAAATTATTTTAAGTCTAAATATTTAGCCTCACGCCATCACAGATGATGCTACAATATTTAATTTGATGTATAGCTTTAACATAATTATGGCATCCAATTCCATGCTAGGTCAATTCTAACCTAAATTTATAGCACAACTATCATCCAACATATTCAGTTCATATTGTTTTAGCGAAACTCAGTCCCTTCTAGTCGAATCTGGCAACAAATGGCAGAATTGTTAAGGCATGATAAATTACGGCTCAATAAATCAAACGCCAAATTATTGAAAATTTGAGCCTTCTACATTAAGAAAAGAAAATAACTATTAATGGTGGCATAATTTGCCAGAAATAGGATTGTTTGTCTTTTAAAGACCTCTTAATTCTGACAGACTTACCCATGGATTACCAGTCCTGTCCGTTTTTATCCCGCATAGCCCCTATATCATTTATTAGCTAAAGTTTAGAGATTTTTGTTTTAGATTTCCTGTTAGTTTGGAAGCCTTTAGGCCTGTATTAACTTATTCATTAGTAGTAACGTTACTTTTAGGCATCATTGTTTAAATCCTCACCTTTGGAACACACATTCCTTGGGTCATTCAATTTTCATTCGTAAACTTAATATAATTGCTGAGTGGTTATAATATTTTTTTAGTTATTAAATGTGAATTGCATCATAGTATGAGGGACCTCAATCAAGACGACACTTCCAATCACCTATTTGTTGTAGATCGGTTTCATCGACTTTGTAATTCATCCGTTGTGGGATACATGGTGTGATCTAATTCATCCAGCCGGTGAACACATCCTGGAGGCTTTGGATGCAAATCGCGATATAATCCTCAATCAATCACCATTCAAAGAATTTGAGGTGCAAGCAAAGAGGCAAGCAGAGCAAGCAAAATAATCCCAAAATCTATGGGTGCCTAG